TTCTATTGTATACCCTCCCTGTTCTACTAGTTAAATTAGACTTAAAGCTTTTTACGATTATTTTTTTAGTAATAACTAAGTAGACTTAACACTAAGACCTACTCTAAGTGCTTAGAGCTACTCGCGAGCGACTTATAAGTAGATAGAGTTACTTAAAGGCTCTAAGTACTCAAAGTGGGCTCCGAGCGCTTCGAGCGGCTCCAAGCAACCAATTTTCTTTTCCTAATAAGTCTATAATATTAGTTGTTTCTTACTATAATATATCTATAATCTATATACTATTCTTAATATAAATTCTAATTCCTATAATAGCTTTTACCTACGAATTATATGGCTATATATTATCTTATAAGTCCCCTACTATAGTTACTAAAATACTATAGGTAAGGGATCTAAGTATAAACTTAAGTGAATAGATTATATGTATTTATAGAGGTAAGATATTAAGATAGAACTATTAAGATAGTAATAGAACTATAGTAATAGATTATATAATACTAGATAATATGTAGAATAAGTATGATACTAGATAATATATAGAATAAGTATAATACTACTTAATACTATAATACTACCAGTTATTAGCTATTTAAAGAACCTTAAAGCTCTATACGCGCAAGTTATACTAACTTCTATATAATAACCCTCCTGTACTACTATAATAGTATATTAGCTATAGAATTATATACTATCTATTAAAAAAGATAAAATACTAAGAAAATTAGTAACTTACCTATTATTACTAGAGAAGCTAGATGCGCTATAGAAGTACTTAAATAAGAATCTAAAAAAAGAATTAATATTAAAACTCTAGTTAACTATAAGATATTCTATTTTATTTATACCTAAGAAGAGTAGTACTCTACAAAAATATATAGAGCTTATAAGATACTAAATAAAATAACTATAAAAAATAGTTATCTATTACTTTTAATTTTGAGAATATAGAATTAACTCTAAGACGCTAAGTAGTTAAGTTAATTTAATATTTTAGAAGTAAATAATTAGATTTAAATAAAAAAGAGTAAAGAGTAAAAGACTAGAAGATAAATATAACTTAGGCTTTACAAGTACTCAGTAATACTATTTAGGCTTACTAATACTTCTACCATATTCTAGATGTATATTAATAATATTCTAAGAGAATTCTTAGATATATTTATAGGTATCTATCTTAATAGTATACTAGTATATTTGAAGACTAAAGTAGAATATATAAAGTATATTAGATAAGTCTTATAAGTACTATAGTAAGTAGACTTGGAGATATAACTAGAAAAAAGCCAATTCTATAAATTAAAAATTCAGTTCTTAAAGTATATTTACTATAATATAGAGAGAGTTAATACTAAGCCTTAATTTATTAAAGTAATATATAGAATATCATCCAAGAGTAGAGGGAATAGTAAGAAAAATAGAAAAAAATAGTCTTTAAATAGAGTACACAACTTAGTTACATAACTCTAAAATATTTAAAGATCTAAATACTAAGAAATACTAAGTCGAAACTATAATAATATATCTACAAATTAGTGTATTTAAATAGATAGTACTAAGATAAAGATAGCACTTATATAGTCTATACTAGAGTTAGTTAAGAATATATAGTTTTATCTAGAACTAATAAATTTCTATAGGAAATTTAAATAAAGCTACTTCTAGATTACAGTACTACTAACTAATCTTATAAAGAAAAATCAATAACTTTACTAAAGTAAAAAAGCTAATATAGTATTCTATAAACTAAAGAAATAGCTTAGTACTAAACTAGTTCTAATAATATTTAATCTAACTAAGGAAATTATTAAGACAAAGACTTTAGATCTAGTTGTAAAAGTATATCTAAGCTAATAAATTAATAAAATGATACTAGATATTAGTGTTTAGTAGTATTTAACTTAAAGAAGCTTGGTAGACTAGAGCTAAACTATAAAATCTATAATAAAGAACTATTACTATTATTAAAGTAGCTAAGTAAAAAGAAATTATTTAAAAGAAATAAAGTACCGAATTTAGATGTTTATACCTTATAAGAACTTAGTACACCTTACTACTACTAAAGTCTTAAATTAAATATAGGAGTAATAGTCTAAGAAATCACTAGTATTTAATTTTAGAAAATACTACTATCTTAAGAAATAGCTATAAATTATAATAAATATAAAGATGCTAGTAAGTAGTACCTTTAGAAGATATTAGCTTAGAGAAAAAAGATAATTATATAAATTTAAATTCTTTACTAAAGGCAAGATCTAGATTAGCTACTAATAACTTGAATATAGTTAGACTTAAGAGGCTTATAGTAGAAATAGTTAAGACAAGAACCTCTTTCTTTTAATTTAGTTTTTCTAATTCTTTTATATTATCAAGACTATAATAGATTATCTCTATCTTACATTCACCTAAAAAGTACTTAAACTTTACTAGATAATCGATTTTAGCTAGTTCTACTATTATCAACTAGTAAGCAGTAGCCTCTAAATTAAAAGCTACCTTTCTTTTAGTATAAAGATAGAATTATCTTTTATCTACCTTTACCAAAGTCTCTAAGAAGAAGAGTTCCATATTAAACCTACACCTTTTATATAAGTACTCTAAATAGAATAATAAGTTAGTAAACTTCTGATAGTTAGTACTAATATATATATACTCTATATATTTGAAGCTATAAGGATACTATACCTTTACACTTAATAAAGTAACTGTTAATAGTAGGTACTAGTTTTATTATAAGGTATAACAATATAAAGTAAATAGTTTTTAAGCTATAAATCTTTAAAAGAAGATCTAGTATTATAAGCTAGTACTTATTATAGAGGCTATCTAGAGCTAGTATAATTACTAAGTCTATTACTACTATTTATATTATCTCTAATAATAGTAGATAATAGAGTTAATAGAAAATACTAGTATTACTATCTATATAATCTCTAATAGTAGTAGGTAATAGAAACTATAGAAACTATAAATATAGTCTAGTATATAGATAGCTACTTCTATACTATAGTATAGTTTAGAATTATATTTAACTTAAAATAAATACGTACTATTCTTATAATATACTTATTAAGTTACTATATAATATTAATCTCACTTTATTATATTTTATACTATTCTCTAACTCTCTAATTAGAATAACTACTTTAAAGTAATATCTTATTATACTAAGCTTTAAATATCTTATTATACTAAGCTTTAGATATCTCTAGCTAGAGCTAGTTAGATTTCTTAGTCTAGTTCTTAATTATAGAGAAGTTAGAAGAAAATAATAATAATAAAAAAATTTAAGAAATAGACACTTTTTCTTAGTGATAACTAGATTATACTTATATTTTGTAGTAATATATTTAGCGTAATAACTTAACCTTAGATTTGTTTTATAAGGTATTCTTACTTAGTAGTAATATAAATAGAGAGTAGATATTTTAGTACTAGTAGTAGTAATAAAATCTATAAGCTTAAGATAATAATAAAAGAACTTAAACTTTTTAGCTTTAAATATAATAAAGCTAGAAAGTCTAAAGAATAAAGAAGTGTTATAAGATAGACCTTTAAACTAAAGGCTAAGCTCGAAAGAAAATAGTATTATAGCTTTAAGTAATTTTTAGAAAAACTTTTTAAAAAAATATAGTTTTTAAAAAATAATATAATCAAAAAAAAGTTTATAATATAGTTAGATACTTCTACTAAAGAGAGCTATAATAAAGAAATTATTAAATAATATAAGTAATTCTACTAAAAAAATCTTTATTAAAAGAGTTAGAGTATAAGAGTATAAGCTAAAAGCTTAAGTATATAAATAATACTATTCTTATTTACTATAAAAGTTTACTTAACTTAGAATAAGAATCTTATACTCTGATAATATACCAAATTAATTACTTTATAATAGTAATCTATTTAATTATATTCTATAATATTCTTTAATTCTTTAATTAGAATAATTACTATTTTTAGTAAGTAGTATTATTATATAGAGATAATATCTATTATAAGTAAGAACTATAAACATATTAATATTTATAAAAGATTATAAGAAGTTAAAAATACTATCTATAAATATAGCTAGGATAAGAGAAAGTAGAAAGAACTATAATAAACTATAGTAAAGCTATAATAAAGAACATTTAGTAATTATAATATAGTTCTATTATATAAAAAAGCTTAATACTAGAGCTTAATTAGTTAAATTAATGTATAAAATATTATATATAGCTAGAAAATATTTGTAATAGACTATTATATATAAAGTAATAATTCTAATTAAGAAATTAGAAAAGAATATAGAATATAATAAGATTAGATAGATATTATATAGTAATTAATTAAGTAAATTATAAAAATAGTAAGTTCTTATCTTAAGTTAAGTATACTATTCTACTAGATAAAAATAATACTATTTATACACTTAAGTATATAGCTTATACTCTTATACTATAATCTCTTTAATATAGGCTTTTAATAGAATTTATTACATCTCTTAATAATTTCTTTAATTTAGCTATTTTTTGTAGAATTTTTTTTTATATTATGTACTTTTTTGAGAAATACTATTTACTAGAAACTATAACTTTTGAGAAAATCTTTTCTAGAAACTATTTAGAGTTATAATAGTATAACAAGAAAAATAGAAAGAAAACTCTGTAAGTAAAGTATATAGCTTAGTTATATAACTCTAGACTAATAGAAAATTGAAATACTAAGAACTATTAAATTTTAGCTATAATAGTATTCTTGTTTAGTAAGTATATTACTAGTAGAAAGCTAGAGATATACCTAGAGCTTTCTTTATAACTTACAAGTTCAAAAGATTTACTAATATACTAAATATATATTAAGCTATAGTTTTATTTAGCTATAAGAATATACTAAGCGGGTTTCTATAGTATACTAAAAATACTAGATAAACCGTATATATAGAGATACAGGCGGAAAACTCTTATCTGCAGGCTTATAGCGTAGTTGGTCCCTAGGGCTCGGGTAGCCGTCGAAAATCGACTCTACCAAGGAATCTCCTCAAATGCCGTCCGCAGCACATCCGTCCGCGTCTTCTGCATCTCAGGCGCACCGCTGCCGACATGCTCGAGAATATCAAGCATCTTCCTAACATCCATTTTCGCAGCGACGAAGAGCGTCTCCGGCATCATTGATTTGGGTGGTTGGCCGGGCGACACCGGTTGTTGCTGGCGATCAGCTGCAAGAAGTTTGGATATCGTGAGCTGCGGTTAGATTTAGCGGAAGTCTGAAAGAGGTGTTTATGGTGCAAGCATCAGGGTGACTTACTGCTTCCTCGAAAGCGCGATGCTGGAAGACCCACCATACGCCAGCGTCAACCCTCAAGAAATCCCAGAGCTCGAAGAACGCTTCGATGGCCAGCCTGGCGGCTTCCAGCGCCCCTTTGACGTCGCATCTCACCCCGCCGGCGTCGTTTTCGTCCATCTGCAGGATCATCAGACAGTGCCAGTAGTTGCTTCGTAGAAACAGATTTTGCCGTGCCCGCCGAGGATCACTGGCGGCAAGCCGGGCCACGGTATCGCGGTCGGTAGTGTTCAGGGAACTCGGGAAGGACGAGTAGAGCGTGCGGTATGTGGCTAACATGTTGGCCTTTTCCCGCGCGTTGGCCGTCAGGGGATGATTCAGGGCTCGAGGTCTACAAATTGTGGCCTGCACGAGATTGGCCAACCTCCACATGCTGCGGATGTACTCGTAGTCGGGTATTGGCTCCACGGGCCTGGGTGAAGGTGCGATGTGGTTGATGCTCATCGGATTGCTGTATGCTGGAGTCGGTGGGCCGGTGCCTGTGCCTGTGCTGTTGTTGTAGGCGGAATCTTCGTCGGGTTCGTCGGTCAGTGAGTCCACGGCCATGTCGGAAAAGGTGCCTGTCGGGGGAAGCTTAAGAAGTACTGTAAGGAAGGTGTCTTGGAACATGACTGCCTGCCAGACTTTGCGGCGCTGCTGCTTCTCGGATTTGGAGGTTCGCTGTCCAAAGCGATCGGGATCGCGGTTCAGGCCCATGGCGTACGCTTGGCGCATTAGGACACCTCCGAACGCCCAGGCATCCGAAGCATGGTTGTCGTTCATGAGAAAATAGCATATCAGAACCATGGCCTGGATGGCGGGTAGAGAAGGGCGGCTGAGATAGCTCGATATGCGTAAGGAGTGATGCGCCGCAGAAACGTAGAATTCTGCCACCTGTTCCTTCTCCTGTGGATCTGAGGCCACTTGCATGAATTGCGTGCCCATCGCATAGATGACAAAGTGCAGCGCTAACATCGCGGCATCTGCTGTATCCTTTTCTATAGGCGGTGACGACCAGAAGCGCTCGTATTCAGCGTAGAACTTCCGCCGGTTGATCATCGGATAGACCGGGTCGACCGACTCGAAGTACTTAGCTACCAGTATGTCGGCCTGGCCTTTTCTGGGCAGTATTCGGAGTACTTCTGGTACACCGCCACGGTTGGTCCAGTAGTTTGCAAAAGGATGCTCGCGGCCAAGTCCAAAGACGTGTGATGGGGAATGCTTGGAATTTGGCACTTGAGATAGTAGGTACGGAGAAGAGCTGGCTGAAGAGGTGGATGTTCGGCGGTAAGGAGGCGCTAATGTTGCGGCCTAGCAATCAAGTCAGTGACAGCGGATCACGGGCACCTGCTTGCATTCTTCTCTGGGAAGCTTTTCGCCGCAAGAAGTGAGGCTTCGCAGATACAAGAATGCGAATCCGACTTATGCGGAACTGGTGCAAAACGGACCAGAATGCCGCACTGGAAACAAATAGTACTGCGTCTGACCAGCCGATCAGACTGCAGGCGTTTTCCGCCGACAAGAAGGAGACGAAGACATCCAGCCTTCCGCGTACCGTCCGGCCAATTGCATACGGGTGGCACACAGACTGGGTATATGGAAGTATGTTCCCGTCTCGTTCACGCTTTGTTAACTCGCGAAGCAAGCGATATATGCAACAACATTATTAAAACACTAAAACGGGTCTTTTGGATTGACAAGGGGCGAGGAAGGACGGGACGGCAGTATGAATTCTGTCGGGCGCTCGGGATCACATGAGGCATGGTGATGGTAAAGAAAAACGGAAGAGCGCAGAATGAGGTATTCTACCCCAAAGAAACAGGCCGATAAGTAAGGGACAAGGCCGGGTATATACCTCTTGAGCCACAAACGTACTAAGTCCGCCGACGCCATGTGTTAGTTTGGATTTGCTGCGCGGCGTGCTCCCGCTACGAACATCTCGACTGTAAATCGTCAGATGCTTAAAGTGGGCACAGCTCCGTTAGCTCCAGACGGGCGCGACATACTCAGCCGTTGCGATCAGGTTGGCAACTTCAGAGTACTTGCATTCTGACTGGCGCTTCACGCAAGCCAGACATGTCGGTCGGCCCCGGTCACACTTCGAGGGAGTGTCAGCAAAGGACAACAAGCCCATCACGGCCCCGAAGGGCTCACCTTGGTCTTACGCTCTACGCACTCCTCGCAGCTCAAGGTCGGCTTGTTTCTTTTTTGCTTCTTCCTCGGTGGCCCGTTGTCGTCTGTTGCGGAGAGGGCACCTTCAGCGGCAGGGCCAGCTAATGAGGTCGGTGCAGCGGGCTGTTGTGGGTTGTCCGCCGACATTCCTCTCGGTGCTGTGGATGCCTGCAACGACTACCTTACGCTAATTTGAACGAGTCCGGGGATGTGGACGAGGGGACGGCGGGAATAAGAAGCGCCGCAGCCAACATCCGGGGGGCAGCAGTGGGATGTGCTGCCCCTCGGCTTGGACCCTGCCGCGATTTCAGAACAGCTCGCACGAGTAAGACAACACGCCCGAGCACGTCGGGCAGGGAAGAACTGTCACCGCGAAATCGACCCCCCCACGCTTCTTTTCAACCACCATCAGCTCCTCCAGCTCTATCAGCTATACCAACTGCCCAAAATCACCAGATCTATTGATAATCAAGAACTGCTAGCAAGCTCCTAAGTAAACGGTTAACAGGAGGCCGCATTGGGACGAGCGGACTGTGGTTTCAGCAATTCAAGCTGGTTAGGCTGCAGTGAGCCAAGATTCGATCAATAAGCGTGTTAGACCTATGCCAAATCGCTTGCGATAAGTGATTAAAATAGAGGGTAGAATAACACCGAATCAGATATAAAATTGGCTTCCAAAAAGCTTCAATTCTTGGTAGTAAATGGAGTGGTTAATGGAAACGTAGTGTTGGTGATTTTCGCGGTGACAGTTCTTCCCTGCCCGACGTGCCGAGTTAGATGGGTACTTGGGTACTTGGGCACTTGGGTACTTCGGCAATACATCGATCCCTCTTAGCGTATCTTAGACACGTATCTACTTATCTAGGGTGTATTATTGTATCACGTCCTGGCTAAGCCGGTTCCGGCTGCATGATAGACTTAAGAAACTTGTCTCTACGACCTGGACAATCTACCTCTGTAAAACACCAGCACATGCACTTTTTCAGCATGTCGGAGCGGTTACCACTACTTTACAAGTACCACTCGAAGATCCCATCACGCTGGAGCGACCACCTTTCAAGCATAGAGCTTTCCTGGCCGTCATGATCTCGTGGTGCATTTGTGTATCGAGAATCCACCCACTACTACAGCGAAGAAGTTTCTCGTCACTCGGCTGCCGTTCTTACCTTCGTTGAGCGCTCCTGAAAGTTGGGGAGCAGCTACGGATCAGCGTAGGGCCGTCAAATGCAACATTGATTAGCATTTGGTGTGTCGTTAGGTAGGCATGGCCCATCCCGAGAAGGATGAATCCTGGGACCAGGCCTCAAGAGAGACTCGGGAGCCCGTCAAGCCCTGTACTGGTTGGATGATCATCATCGCTGTTGTTGTCCAGCCGCAGCTACCTCCTTCGGCCTGGCCTTCTACCAGCACGACCCCTACCTCTGCCCCTTCCCCTGACTGCAGTCTTCTTGTCTGTTTGCGTGCTTTCCTCCTCCTCCTCCGATTCCTCGTCACGCTCGCTATCTTCCTCGCCAGACTCTTCGGCCAGACTTTCCACTTTGGCAGCCTGTACCTTAGCAGCGCTCCCTGGCCTAGCACCTCTTGCTCCTACGGCGACAGCAGCGGCCCTTCCTCCCCGCGCCGCACCTTTCTTGGTGGTCGCAGGCGAAACTTTGGCAGGCGCTTCCTCCTCCTCTTCCCCGCTCGCAGCCGTGCTCAGCCCCTTCGCCGGGCCTGGATCTCCCCTCCCATACCAATCCTCCAGGATCGGCGAACTGCCGCCGCCACTGCCCAACTCTTCATCATCGTCCGTGTTCAAAAACCTCCTCGCCCACATCTCCTCCCCAAACTCGCTTTCCGGCAGCCCAAACCCGTCCACCTCCGCCCTGCCATCCTCATCCTCATCCATCAGGTCCGGGTGCTCCATGCCATAGAAGTCGTCCTCCCGCTCATCCAGCGCGTCCAAATCATACAGCTGCCTCAGCTTCATCCATATGCCCGGGATGCGCGTGTGCGGGGTGGAGGGGTTCGAGTAGCCGTGCGAGCGGAGGGAGAGCGAGATGGCGAGCATGCGGAAGTGCTTGTGCATGCCGGTGGGTTTCCAGCGGATCATGGATTTGAACAGGCTGGTTTCTTGGTCGTCGGTCCATGAGTCTTTGAGGAGGTCGTCTGTAGTGGTTTGGGAGGGCTGAGAGAGTTTGCCGGGGGAGGAGGCGGCGGTTGTGGAGATGGGGGTTTTGGGTTGCGCGTCGGCTAGTGTGGTGGTGGAGGTGGAGGTGGAGATGCGGGCTTTCTTTCTGGGAGGCATCGTGGGCAGCGGTGGGCGGACATGCAATTGAGGTGGTAGTGGCGGCGGTGTTGCTGCTGTCAGATAGGTACCGAGTGACAGGGCAGGTTAAGGTGATGCAGCAGGCTGGCAGTTGATTGAAAACGCGGCAAGTCGCGTCAACCACCACGGAGGCGCAAACTTCGCCCCACTACATATCAACACTCAAGGCATACCACGCAGGTGACGGATAACGGCGTGAGATTGGCCGATGCTTCAGTGCTTCAGTCTGATGGAGAATGGCGACGCTTTCACCATTCCTCAGATATGGGGACCCTTGTTAGTCGCGGAAGAAGAGCCTTTACACGAGGCAGGCCTCTTCCCGCTTCCAGAGCTCGATGGTATAGACTCCGCCAACAACGCCGTCCATGTCGACGCGTCTGAACCTTTACTAATCGCCTGACAGTTTCTTCAGTCAAGCTTGACAATCCATACGCGCCCACGAAAGGACTAGATTATGATCTGCGTCTGCCGCACCTCGAGTCCTTCCGATTCGGGCCTCTGGAGGAGCTGGAAGTCACTGACACCTCCGTCGTCTCATCAACCGCGGAGCAGCCCGCCCTAAGCACGGTAGAACAGGTCGACATATGGACGATACCCTCGGACTTGCTTCCAAGTGGCCAAGATGCGCCGTTCATCACCTGGGAAGCCTTCGACCAGTCTAGCCTTCAGGAGCCGCGCTCCGCTTATGTCTCAGAGGCGGGACCTGGAGCATTCGACGGAGGATTGCACCGCCGGAGTGTGGGGGGCGTGTCGAGATTCGGTAATGCGCTGCCGTCAGACCTCCTACTCGCGTCTCTCCATCATCTGGGCATGGGTCGAGGCTCAACTCTTTTCTCCTATGATACCAAAACCCGGTCGTTTACGCCGGCACTCGAAGACATTCGAACCGTCGGCTACAGTCTAGCCTCCGCACAGAGCTCTATCGCCTGTTTCGTCCAGATGGGAAATGTGGTCAAGTATCTGCAAGACTTCGTGCACAACAGTTATGCCGGTGCAACCACGGTGCCTGCCCGGACGGCTCTAGCTAGTGCGATATCGACTATCCTCACTGCTCTGGATGCACATACTTCATCCAATAGCCAAAGTGCTCGCAGCTTACTGCAACTACATTCTCTGTTCGAGCGGCCTCAGCGACTCGTCACTCATCTCCAGCAAACTGTCACATCTCTGGAGTCAGCATGCACCAACGCAGAATTTGTCTCTAGACTTTACTGCCGGGCTCAAGATGTCGAACAGCAACCTGAGTGGTTGCGCCAATGCATGCTTCAATTGCTTACACGGGTCTCGGAACCATGGCTCGAGCTCGTCAGCGAATGGACTGGACTGTTGAGCAACAGCGCTCCAACGGACCAAAGTGCGAGTCTTGTGGAGCCAGAGGAAGCAAGCTTCGGACTGGCGGGCGATCAAACTGCGTCAGGGTACAACTTCAACGCGAAGATGATGCCAGACTTTGTTTCGGAGGAAGACAGGCGTATGGTATTCGAGACCGGGGAGAGCCTCTGCTTCATCAAGAAACACCATCCTGACCACCCTCTAGCAAATTTGGGAGCTTTCAACATCAAAGCTCCTGCACTTGAGTGGAAACATGAGTGGCGGGACATAGAAGCCGTGGCTGAGAAAGCCAAGGAGTACGAACGACGCCTCCTTCAAGCTCTGCAAGAGCACCGTCAAAGCACCTGCAGGACCGTCAGACAACGTCACATTGCAGTAGAAGACGCAGTCAATCTGCAGGACTCCGGCCAGAATCATGAACAGGTCCATCACGCCCACGTCGCAGACCTGGCCGCGCTGTTTGATCAGCCTCCTCGGCCATCCTTCGACACCTGGCCTGATGAACTTCGGAAAGTCCTGGCCAACGCTCTCGATTCGAATGACACCGCTCAAGCTTGCAAATCATCGACCTTCGCGCCGCCACTTTCCATCACACCCCTGCTCTCACTTAGCCCTCTGCTCGCCACTCAAGCTCGGGTCGTCAACTCCGAGTCACTACGCCTCTTGTTCCGCGCTCACGGTTTGAGGCTGCATCTCTCTCTACAACGCCAGTACCACCTCTTCGGCGACGGAATGTTCGTTACGCGTCTGAGCTCAACTCTGTTTAGCCCTGAGCTCGCAACTGCCGAGCGGCATCGCGGTATCATTCGCACAGGTGCGCCCATGGGCCTCAAGCTCGGCAATCGAAAGACATGGCCGCCTGCAAGCTCCGAGCTCCGGCTCGCGCTCATGGGCGTGCTGAGTGACTGCCATCACGCATCTGCGCTCCAGTCCAACAGTCGGCGTGGACAGCCCAAATCTGCCTCTCGCGGGCCTATGGCAGCTGATCGTGCACCTACCGAATTACCTGGCAACCTCAGCTTTGCTGTCCGTACGCTCTCCGCCGAGGACGCGGATAAGTGCATGGATCCGCAATCGCTCTACGCGCTTGACTTCCTGCGGCTGCAGTATACGCCGCCGGAACCGCTGAAGGAAGTCATTACTGCGGCGGTGCTCGAGAGATACGACCAGATTTTCAAGCTGCTGCTTCGGCTCTTGCGCATGCTGTTCGTGGTAGCGCATCTCCCGCGGGATATACCCAGTCCGACCGCAAAAATGTTCAGAAACGAGGCCCACTACTTCGTCACGGCCGTGTCTACGTATTTCTTTGACACGGGTATCACTGAGCTCTGCAGCGGTTTCTCGGCTTATCTTGACGATATCGAGCGGCGGCTGCAGCGCGAAGACGATAACGGAAAGATCGGCCAGCTAGTCACCGGTGGGCCAGAGAGCCTGAGGATAAGGCACGAGCAGTTCCTGGACCAGATGCTCTTTGCGCTTTTACTGAGGAAGCGCCAGGCTCAGGTGATGGTCTTGCTGGAAGAGATCATGGAGGCCATTTTAAGGTTCGAAAGGCTGGTCCAGGAACGGCTTGAGGGATGGCGGGAGGTGGTAGAGCAGCTGTATGCAGGTTTCAGGGCCAAGATTGGGGTGTTTTTGACCGTTTGCAGAGGGCTGGTAGGAAGAAAGGGGTACGGCAAGCGAAGGGCGGCTGAGTCGGGGGAACAGAATACTATTGAGCGGCTGGTACTGCTGCTTGATATAAGCGGGTATTACGCTACGGCGAACGAACGTCCACCGTAGAAGCTCCCCCGTCAGGTGGGTTTGCCGACCCGCTTGAATCATCTGGCTCCAAGTAGGTTTAATCAGCGGATACATCTAGCACAAGATCGTGTTATACCGGTACTCCATGCGGCTACGACTGGTGCTACAAGTGATCTGTCTACACTACTGATACATCGAAAACGACATCAAAGAACGAAAACCACGGCCGTAGAAGCCCCAACGCCGCAACTGGCATTGTTGATGGCCGCTGATGCTCTGCCCATCTTCACCTCATGGAAGGGACACCTAGGTGCCCGGGGATGGAACATCAATAGGCCGGCGCTGACATCCAAGGGGTCCAGAGCAACCTCGGGACTTCAGATCCGCATCTGTGGACCACAGCCCTGAATCAGCGCAGCAAGCTCCAAATCAGCTCTCTGCTCGAATGGCTGAAGCACGTCGAGCCGAGTCCTCGGCCCCGGGCATCAGCTGGATGTGCCTGTCAGATCAACGCCATTGGACAGCAGTTGCACTAGAAGCACTCGGGGGAGGGGCTGCCAGCTACCCCTCCTCCAAGCCGACAACGAGCTTCAGGGCATATTTATGGAGGCTCTGCCCCCTGCTCTGGAACCGGATCGTGAAGGTTGACCTAAGAGCATCCTCTCGCTTAGTACCCATTGGACCCTGCGAACCATGTCCGCCTCCATGACCGTCCCCGACTTCGATGACCTCCCAAAGGTGGAGGGTATGCCTCAGGGATGCGCATGGGGCGTATTCGACAAGGACGGGAAGAAAGACGTGTTAGGCACGCTGAACCTGTTGACGCCTGATGTTGTCAAGGCTGCGGTGGCGGAGGTGAAGGAGGGTGTATCCGTGTCTCTGAAGTGTGTTGTCCTAAGCCTACCGCCAACACTATCAAGCGGTCTGAACTGACTTTGACCAGCTGGCCAATTGGTGCTATCAAGACTCCCGGCTTCTTTCGGAAGGGGCTGGTACACAAGGTCATGAGCTTCATCGATTCACCCTTGGCGGCGCATGGCTTTGATGATGAGATTGAGTTCAACACGCAGTGCAGCAGTCAGTGGGATAGCCTGTGTGAGCATCACCACAAGAGCACCATCCGAGCGCTTCTGATAGTTGTACAGGTCATTTCAACCACCAGCCCACCGGTCTAGCGTACAATGGCATCAAAGCAACCGTCGAGAAGCTTGTGCAAGAGTTTGGTAACGAGGACAGGGAGAAGCTCCTTCCCACTTTAAACCGTAAGCCCCACCTCTTCAACACTTAAATCTCCCGCTCAACTCACACCCCCGCTCCAGACTGGCACGATCGCGGCGGTCTAGTCGGTCGTGGCGTCCTGATCGACTACAAGTCCTACGCCGACGCAAACGGCATTTCCTACGATCCATTCTCCGACCACCGCATTACCGTGGAAGACATAGAGACCATAGCGAAGTCACAGGGAGTTGAGTTTCGGCAAGGCGATATCATCATCGTCCGTTCTGGCTTTACCGAGGCGCTCGGGGCAATGAACGCGGAGGAGCAGGATAAAGCGCTCGGAACACATCGGACGTGCGGCGTAGAAGGTACCGACGAGTCGGCGAGGTGGTTCTGGGATAAGCACTTCGCAGCTGTTGCGGGTGATGCGCTTGCCTTTGAGGCTATACCGCCCATAATCGATGGGAAGGAAGAGACTGTTGCTAAGCTTGGTATATCAATCAATTTCCCTATGCTGCATTGGAATGAAGGAAAGCTTACATGCGTTTCGAACAGTACTTCACCAGTGGTTCCTTAGTCTTTTTGGTCTTCCGATTGGTGAACTGTGGGACCTTAAAGCACTATCCGAACAGTGCGCGAAGTCGAAACGGTATTCGTTCCTCCTCACCTCCAGTCCGCTGAATGTTCCTGGTGCTATCGGCTCCCCGCCAAACGCGCTGGCAATTTTCTGAGCAGATCAATCTGTTCGACGTGGTCTAGAAAGTTGATCTGTATTCAAAGCTACTTGAGTATACGGCAATGGATGCAAATGGCGTTAGTTCGGCTTGATGCAGCAGTAGAGTGAGTTGGATTAAGTTCAGTTCGTTAGTCTTTTGAGGCAGTCAAGTGCTTGACGAGCTTGGTGCAAGAGATGGATCCACTTTATGGATTGAATGAAGTAGTATAGAACAAATCACTGAAGCGTTTCAACACTTTTCAACTGATAGCTCAAGATATCACAGACGAGGGTCCTGACCAGGTTACCGCTCCGCTTCCCCAACCGGCGATCAGCCCCTTGCGTATGCAACTCCACTGTATGCCAATAAGCTCTACGTTATTCACATACTGGCTTCCTGGGTGCGCCGTAGTCTTCATGTGAGACTCGCTATGTAATAAATCTCTCGCTCTCCTCTCCTGCGAATGGGTCACTGGAATTGAAAGTGCATTATCTCTGTGTTGTACGCAGCCGGTCGCGTTTCCTATTCGCATGCAACAACTCATATGCAGAAAGTGGGTTGAAAGGTGTTAGTTTTATTACTCTACTCCTTCATGCCGCTAGAAACCAGCAAGCCTCCCAGGTAAAGATACCACACAAGTCCGAAGAAGAAATACTCTACGATAGCCTAAGCAGCAACAATAGTGAGCCTCAGAAGCTCATCTATACCAGGCAGCGAAAACGCCCCCTCCATCAGCAAAGTTAGCCACATATGAACATATACAACGCCAGATCCCCCCTTTTACAAGCCTACCCCGATGCAAACCACGTGACCCACCGCATATCAACATATCCTCCCAGCAAGGAGCCGCGTCACCGAAGTACTAATCATTTCCGATTCGAGTCTCTACTTCCCGGCCTCTGCTTTTGCAACTTCTTCCGCCTCCGATCCGCCGACTCCGTCCTCGCATGTCCCGGCTCCTCGACCGGCGGCGCAGGACTCCGGCTTCGGGCCCGCGGATCCATGAGTCCCATGTTCGGTCCCGCTTGCTCCTGCATCTCGATTGCGGTGGGCTCGTCTGCTGCTTTCACGACGAAGCTCCTGCGTGCGAGGGGGCTACGGCCGGTACGAGCGCTAGCTTGGTGCGCGGCGGAGGAGGCGCGGTCGCCAGGTCTGAGGGACTGCTTCGGGGCTGCGAGGGTGTCGGAGGCTTGTGCGTTGTGAGGATTAAGCGGTGAAGACAGGTCTGGCGTGTATGTGCCGTTGGCGCTGTTGACGCTGCTCATGCTGTTGTCCGTGTTGTTGCGTGCAGCTGCGGGGCGCTGGGAGTGTTTGGTAGGGTTGTAGACGCCGGAGTCGGAGTCGTCGTTTAGAGATTCGACAGACTCGTTGAAGCCGGGTTTGCCCGAGCTGTAGGGGCTGGGGCGCGCGCTCTCGTAGAAGGCGCCGCCGGCTGGCTTCTGCGCTGCCTGCCGAGTGTGGTAGAGCCGCGCATCTTCGGGGTCAATGAGACTCTCGACGCGGCGCGGCATGTAAACTGAGTTTCCGGCGGACATAGCAGTATAGGTCGAATCGAAGGAAGCGCGAGGGTGAAGCGGTATATGGGGCGTATTTGGGTTGCGAGGCCCCATGTCCGGAAGGGTAAGTCCGGAGTCGTTACCTTGTTGATACCAACCATCTGCAAGCCTTTCCGCGGGCGCAAAGCGGCCTTCGAGATGGTCCGATGGTTGGAGCGGCATGTTTGGCACGCGTCCTGACTTCTTCCGTTTCACGCGCTCCTCGGCTGCGGTCTTGAAGGTCTCAGGCACAACGTTGAGATCATCGCCGGTGGCTTCGGCGTGTTCGATGGCTTCCTGCGGACTGGTTTTAGTATCGGCCGTTCCGGCATCAGCGCGCGGTCCGCCCCAGGTGCGCTGGCCGGCTGTGAAGATGCCGTATACCATGTAGACCCAGTTGAAGAAGGGGTTGACGACGAACATAAGGGGGTACAGCATGACTTTGTACCGGCCGAGTCTAGCGCCGAAGTAGATCATCAGAAGCCAATTGAGACCAAGAGAGATAGCAATGAATCCAACTGGCAGCTGAGATATCTTCTGAGACGTCGTGATGAGTGAAACGACCATGATGAAGAAGAGCAGTGCTGTAGTGCGGATTGTGTTCTGCATGAAGCGGACGACGCAAAGGATGGGATATCGCTTCCACAACCGGATATCCGTTAACATGCAGACCTCATTGGTGATGAAGCCCAAGAACCATCTCCGGCGTTGCTTTAGCAAGCTGCGGTACGTCTGAACGGCCTCGGTTTTGCAGAAGGCACCCGTGTTCATCTGGATCTGATAACGTTCTTTGGCGCCAATCATGAAGAGATGCGTCAGCCAGCGATCTTCGCCGAGATGGCACTTGCCATAATCGAAGAGGTCATCGCACTGTTCGGCCTTGTCCGCAAAATAGTATTTGGCCATCTTTCTGAAAGCCGAGAAGCGGAGGATGGTAAGCGCACCAGGCAAGCAAGTCACGGCTCCGCATCCAGATTCTACTGATCGTTCGAATAGCTGTCCATGGATGTACTCCATATCTTGAAGCAGCGTGATCAGAGTGTTCTTCTCTGTCGTCGAGGTGATGACTCCAGTCATTGCCAGCATATTCTGCTTGCTGCCAGGCTTGAGTTCCATTTCGTAAACGAAGTTCTGGATGCACACTTTGTCCAAGATGCAGTCCGAGTCAATGAAGAGAACAAACAGATTGTCGTTCCGGCGCAAGTATTCAGTGTAGATCTTGTCGATGAGCTTGTAGGTTCTCTTCTGACAATGACGCTTTCCTCCGTGCGGAAATCTTGAGACGGTGATACGAGTGCTGCGATAGGTCACGTCGATGCTCCTAGGGTACGTATCAAGCGTAAGAGGGACGCCAAGCTTCTCGATGGTGTTGAGATACAGCTCGTCTTCCTGGTCACCGTCGAAGGATAAGAAAACGTGCAAGCACGACGGTGGGTACTCGCAGTCGACCAGCGAGTCAACGGTTCGTAGCAAGATCTCAGGGATCTCCTTGTAGCACGGCATCACAATGACGACTTTTGGCGCCGAAGACTCGTCCAAAACTGTCTTGATCCGCTTTGTCCGCCCCAACGAGTGAGTGACCAGCTGGTAGACGCAGAACAGCCATGGAATAGTCAGGAGACCGGCGAACGACCAGAAGGCGAACCACTGGAGAAACTCCACCATGCTCACTGGGAAGTATCTCACGACTTGCGGTGGCAGCGGGAGCGTGACGACCATGATGGGAAGGAAGATTGCTCTGCAAGTCTCAAATCAGCAGCAATTCAACAGCTCGCGATCTATCCGGCGGGGCTCACCTGAGCGCAGTGAAAAGGATCATCATGATTATCGCCAGGATCTTCACGCTGACAGTTTCCGCTTTCTGGTAGACTTTGACAAGGCAGTACATGAATGCAGCTACCCAGAGGAACCACTCCAAGAGGGCTGCCAGCATTACTGTTCCTACGATGGAGGTGTACACAATCTGGGTGCATGTTAGCCAACGTCCAAGATACCCATCCGCTGAACAAGAAGACCCACATCTTTGACCGGCCATGGGTCTGTGATGTCTGGGATGCCATTCTCATTGGCCGCCCGGACTACGAGTTCTCCCCACATATTGACAAGATACAGTCGTTCGCGGGTTGGAAGGGATGACGAGTTGTTGTTTAGCGAGTGGATGCCTGGAAGGCGGGACGAGTGGCAGAAGGTCGTCAGGTGTGTAGGAGGGCGCGAGGATGGAGTGCCGAGGAGTGGATACGCTTCTAGCTTTCGCGAGGTACAGGTGTGGCGTGGCTCTGCTGCTGCTCTCAGCGATTAGTGAAAGCCATGTGCACGAATTCTGCAGCGCTTGCCTTGCTGGTTGCTGTGGCTCACCACAGCGGGGTGTGTGGCAGCACAGAGGACCCGACGCTACGGCAGGTTGCCGCTGTTGGTAGCACAAACTACGTTCGCTGCCCAGAGCAGAAGTCTGTATTATCAGGCGCTACGTAGCAAACTAGGGCTGCCGAGAGGGATCAAGCAGAGGTATGGCAGCAGCGGGCCACGAAAATCAGTCCACGATCGATGTGGAGAAACTTCTCGTAGAGCGCGCGGGCAGGAGCAAAGACCGAGAGGGAGAAGCTGATTTAAAGATGCAGCAAGCCGAAGTTCCGCGCAGCGAGGGAATGGCAGAAAATCGCAGGTGAGGCCGAGGCAAGGAGCGTCTGTTCTAAGGAAGCGAACAGGCTTGCAAAGCAAAAGAGCGGATGTTGCGTGGAGGGCAGAAGGAGTGGACTGCGGCGGAGGGCCAGCAAAGGATAGGGAGCACAGAAGAAGCACCGCAGGCGTGGAGGACTAGGTACAATTGTATGGAGTGTGCAGCGCCTCCCTACCCCTGGCCGGGACAGAACAAGCGGGCACTTGCGGCGCCATCGCTCGAGGGGAAAAGCGCAGGGCCAGTGCCAGCGTAACGTCAACTAACGTCAGTCCGCCTGCATCAACGGCCGTTTTCTAAAATCGGCTTCGGCACGTCCCTCAAGTCATGGAGAGCATGGCCGACGACTTCTTACGGCGGGCGCCATGTGCTGCGCGACACAGCAGCAGCCCACTGGCCACTGCGATGCCTCACAGACAACCTTGGAGGAGGCGAATAACACGAGTGAAGCGACGGACGAACTAGTTACAGAGTAACCTTCAGTCGCCAATGGCGATGTGGACGAGCGGTTCGCGTTGAGCTTTGATGGGTTGACGTCCGTCGTCTTCGCGCCAGCGCTAGCCTTGACGCCAGGGACAAGGTACGCGCGATTCCCCCTGAATGCCCAGGACGGGAGTTCGTTTGAGCCTCTCCCGCTCATGCATCAAGCATCACCCGGGCATGCAAACAATGGCCAGCGAGTCGTGGGGCAGTGCCCCTTGCCCACAGCTCTGGTTCCTCGGTCCAACCAGCACGCAGACACGGGTTTTGCGGCAAGTCTCCAAATCCACCACCACGCTCAGCTCCTCCAGCTCACAGCCGCCCAGTCATGCGAGTACATGGCAAACCGTGCTTGAATCGCGATTCTCAATAGCTTCCCAGAGGCGCAGCGAGAGCCCTCGTTGTTGCGCCGCCTGCTCAGCGCGGACACCAAAGCCTTAAAGGATCTGTGCAAACTCTGCCGGTACCTTAAGGTTAAGCAGAGCCCACCGCGTGGACCGTGACGCGCCGGATGTACGAAAGCCTCGTCGCGAACCCCCCCACATCGACTCAAGGGACAAATGCCGCCACGATCGCAGATGAAGATGCGACATCTCCCCCGCCTTGAAGCACCTCGCAACAAGGCAGCCGGCTTGGTAGATAACAAGAATGAGCGCACCGTCTCGTAGGCTTGCTTTCGAGAACTAACAACGCCTGCAAGAGCAACTACAGAAGACTGCGGTGTGGCAACAACCCTGTCGTACGTGAAACACCGTGCGAGCCACCCCTTCTCCTTCGGGATACCATTTCCGGGTCGTTCCCCATTGCGGCATCAAGCCTCGTCTCTCTCCGCCTGAGCTATTGAGTAAGAGCCGAGGAGCCGTCCACAATGCTAGTCAGAAGATCGTATCGATGTTTATCTAATTCTGGAGCCCCTATTGCAACTCTAGTCGCTAGTTGTTCAGATGCGCCTGTTGTAGGTTAACTAGTATGTTCAGCTGCTGCGATGGACAAGATTGCCCCAAGCCGTGATCGTCCTCTACGCGGGCCTTTGGAATATTGATACTGTATGCAACCGTTTGAAACTTTGTTTAGCTCTCTTCAAGGAGGACATCCCCAGGCCGCCAAGGTTGTGAGTGACAGGCACCGCAACGAGACTGCTGCCCTGATGCTACATACGAACTATCATGCATGACCGCGAAAACAAAGGGTTCACTGCAGCCGTACGAAAGAACCGTTGGAGACGGCCGCTGCCATGGTGCTGTAGACGTGTAAATCGGACTCTATGCCACGATTCCTCCTCAGCCTGCGCCATTGATGTTCGCCGGATAGAACAGATAAGAACTGACTGTTGGGCTGGCGTGAACTGTATGCCAAAGATGAGACGATGGGCGCCCAGATATGATACTGTGCGTATCGATAAACGCTCGCTTACAGCAGCGACGTCAGCGGTTAAAGTTACGTTGGACGGTGAGGTGTGAATGTCTAGGCGCGTGTGTCTATCTAGATTACCTTCACGACCTGCAGCTACCGCCGCGCAAATTCGAGATCTGAGAACGCCTGCAGATGCCACTGCCCTGAACAAATGTCATCAGCCGGCGCACCACGTACTCTACGACAGGAACTACTCTCCTTCGATCCTTGACGGCAGTACCCTCACTTCCTGCGCACATCTCATGCCCCAAGCTGCGCGCTAGCACAACATCAACATGGATAGACGGAGGAAGCGTATGTCCACGCGCGCGAACACCCTGTAGCACCTGTGTCTGACATGGCAACTGCTTAGGCGAACTGCGCGAGCTGAACCTCAGGGCCTGGGCGGACGAAAAAGGTCTGCACAACCCAAAAAACACCACATCTGGTGCCAGAACCACTGACACAGCTCCAAGATGTGTTTCCCGTTCAGAGCTCGCTCGACTCCTCCATGAAAAAGAACACGGCCTTCATCAAACGCCTCCGCACAGCCGTCACCGCTTCCTCTCAAGCCACCTTCATTCAGGAAATCCGAACACTGTCCCTTCACAAATATCTCTCTGAGATTATATCCGCATGCTACGAAGGGCTCAGCAAGCTCAAAACACCCGGCGAAATTGCGGCGGGCGTAGAGATTGTAAGCGCCTTGCACCAGCGGTTCGGTGCGGTGGAGTTCACAGGATATCTGGGCTGGTTCATAGGTAGGGGACTGAGCTCACCGGACAAGGCACAGCTGAAGTCTCTGCCGCAAGATGTGAGGGACAGAGAAGAAAAGGAGCGCCTCGCGCGCCAGAGGGTCCTCCTTCGCGTTGCTACTGAGCTTTGGCTTGTTGGGGTCCTGAGAAGTTTGGAAGACGTCACCAGACTGGAGGAGGCGACGAAGGGCAAGGAGAACGTCAAAGCTGGCGATGGGTCCGCGAAGGGCAAGGCTAGCGCAAACCCGGTCCGCTCTGGACCTGGAGACGCCGAACCGTTCCCACTGGAGGTACTCAAGGATATGCTTGGACAAGACCGAGAGCATGTGAACCTTCCGCTGGTAGTGTTGTTTGTCAAAACATTCTCGTGGGACGTGCTGGGCGTCAAGATCTCGTCTGCGGAAGGCCGGAAGACGATCAACGAGGATGGTGCGGCTATCTCTATGGGCAGCAAAGGCGAAGACTCAGCCACCACGGAAGATGAGGAGGGGCCAGGAAGGGACTCCCCGATCACGCCGCCAGAGCTCCAACAGCGCTTCAAAAATGTCCTTATGCGCTATTTCGAAGAGGTCAAGTCTCACCTCGTCCGCGACCAGAAGTCGTTGACCGCTCAAGGGCGTCGCAACGCTGAGGCATATGTCAAGTCTGGGGAGGTCTTTGAAGATCGACAAGCAAACTACGAGAAGCAGGTCAAGTCCCAGGAAAAGCTTCTCGCAAATGCGCAGGTGCTTGCAGATGCACTCCGTGTCGAGATGCCGGACCTCAAGGAGAAAGACGCCTCAGCCGCTGCAGGAGACGGCAGCATCGGCCTCGTCAAGGCGGGCGAGTATCTACGTGGCCAAGGCGAGGGCCCTGGCATCTGGGAGGACGAAGACGAGCGTCGGTTCTATGAAAACCTGGTCGATCTAAAGGAGCGTGTGCCCGGAATTCTGCTGGAGGACGGGAAGAAGAAAAAGCCCGAGAATGGCGACCAAATCGGGAAGCGCGCGGACTCCAAAGCGGAAGACAAGTCAGAGACCACGAGCGCTTCAACTTCCACTGAAGCGAAGATAGCGGACAATGACGAGGCATCGATGGCCATCGCCAACAAATCCGTTGGCGCGCAGGTTGATGCCCTTCTCGCCCGCTTACCTGAATTAACAACCAAAGATGGGGTAGACGAAGTTGCGTTCGAGTTCTGCTTCCTCAATTCAAAGGCCTCCCGAAATCGACTTATCAAAGCTGTGGAAGAAGTGCCGAAGGGCCGCTCAGATCTTCTGCCTCTTTATGCGAGGCTTGTCGCGACTCTTGGCAGGTATCTTACAGATATTTCCCAGAGCTTGGTGACTTATCTTGATGAGGAGTTTCGCAGCCTACAGCGGCGTAAACAGAAGGATTTCCTAGGCCAGGTTCGAACACTCAATGTGCGCTACTTGGCGGAGCTGACCAAATTCGGTGTCGTGCCGGAGCACGTAATTTTTCATTGCCTGAAGGTCAGCTTGGATGATTTCTCAAGGATGAACATTGAGATCATCAGCAACTTGCTTGAGAACTGCGGCCGATACCTCCTGCGCAACCCCGAGACTTCTCCGCGAATGAACTCATTTCTGGAGACACTGCAACGCAAGAAGGCCGCTCAACACTTAGGCCAGCAAGAGCGCATGTTGATTGAAAACGCACTTTATTACGTCAATCCGCCTGAACGAGCTGCTATTGAACAGAAAGAGCGGACTCCATTGGACCTCTTCCTCCGCAAGCTTATCTATCTGGACTTGACGAAGCGTAACCTGGATAAGATCGTGAAGCAGATTCGCAAGTTGCATTGGGAGGAGCCTGAAGTATCCCTCACGTTATACATAGAGGTTTACCATGTACTAATATCATCTAGGTCATTAACCTTCTGCAGAAGATATTCACGAAGCCTGGTAAAATCAAGTACAGCAACATCCACCTACTGGCGGTGATATTGTCGTCGCTCAACCGATATCACCAAGAGTTCTGCATCTCTGTCATCGATGACTTACTTGAGTCCATCACACTTGGCCTCGAGCTCAACGACTTCAAATTCAACCAGCGCCGTCTAGCTGAGGTGAAGTATCTCGGCGAGCTCTACATCTACCGGATGGTCGATTCACCCGTGGTCTTCGATGCTCTATACAAGCTCGTCACCTACGGTCATGCGAACGGCACGCCTATGCCAGGAAGCGCCAACCCGCTGGATCTTCCCGATGACTACTTCCGCATCCGCTTGGTCTGCAATCTTTTGGAGACCTGTGGCACGTTCTACAACAAGGGTGCGGCCAAAAAGAAGCTGGATTTCTTCCTGACATTCTTTCAATACTACATCCAGACCAAGGAGCCCCTTCCGATGGACATTGACTTTGTGGTTCAAGATGCTTTCGCCTTGGTTAGGCCCCAGTGGAAGCTACTTACTTCGCTTGAGGAGGCCGGTCGTGCCTTTGCGGAAGCTGTGAAGGAGAATTACCAGACTTCAGCGACCGGCAAGCCAATCGAGGCTGATGAAGTCGAGGAGGAATCTGCGTCCGATGATGGTCAAGATGTTGACGAGGAGGATTTGGATGATCAAGTGGGCGAGGCTGAAGGAGACTCTGGCGAAGAAGTTGATGTAAGTCGTGGCTAGGTTTGTGGCTATGTGCGACTTCACTGACTCGTATATCAGGCTACTGCTCAAGAAACCGAACCGAAGTCGAATGAGTCGGACTCTGAGGAGGAGCAGATCATTGTCACTCGTCCTGAGGACGAACGAGACCCAGAAGCTGATGCTGATTTCGACCGCGAACTGGCGAAGATGATGGCCGAAAGCGTACAGGATCGCAAACTCGAGCGGAAGCCGATTTTCGACGTTCCGCTACCCATGCGGCGAGCTCAGCGCGATGTGACAGCAGCTGCCGATGACAGCGATCGTGAAAGCCCCGCGCCAAGCGGCTCGCCAAACACGATGAAATTCTCGCTGCTGAGCAAGCGCGGCAACAGGCAGCAGGTGAGCACTGCAATGGCCAGCTCTTTTACTGCACCCTTACTGAGATTCCAGACCCGATCCATCGATCTCCCAACCGACTCGCATTTCGCAATCGCCATGCGCGCGCAGCAGCAGGCTGAGAAGGAAGAGCAGCAACGCATCAAGAACCTCGTGCTCAATTACGATCTCCGTGACGAAGCCGAGGCAGACGGTGACCCCAACTTTCATTATATACTCCAACCCAATTTCAACCGCCCCGTCAACAAGCAAACAGTCACTGAGACAACAGCACCTCAAGGTATCGACAAAACGCACAGCCCGTACATCCAGCCTCGCATCGACAAGGCGGGCAACAACCGCAGCCACCAGCGCGCACGGAAGCTGCAGCTCAGCGATGTTGACTGGTATGGAAAGAAGTCTCCTTCAGCTCTAGACTCTACTACTTCGGCACCAGCGTCTGCGGCCGGCAACGGACTTGCGACTCCTGGTGACGAACACCCAGCACGTTCGTCGGCTCATGACGGCAAGGGACGCCGAGGTGGACGACGCGCTTATAGGACTTTCGGCTGATGTCGCCCTCCCGCGGGCATTTCTGCAGGACCTGATTGCTTTGAAGATATATATTTATCAACTAGTGATCACCGACCGTCGCCCATCGTCGAATCGATATGCGTTCCGGCTATGCGAAGTCACCTGTGCTGCAATTAGGTACAGGCCTCATGCGCCTCCATTCAGCCGCGGCGGCGAACAAGCAACCGAGGAAGCGATCGCGCGCTCCAGCAGCCTTCGGAAAACGGATGGAGTCCATAGGGCAGCCAAACGCGGTTCACGTAGCAGTCGGACAGGAGTCACAGACAGCGACCCCTGCCGCGGTGGATATGTTGCCGTGAGCTTGTGCTGGGGCAGCGAGGGAGCGGGGGCGGCCGCAATATGCAGATTGGCGTTTCATTTCTTCCCTCTCTTGAGTTCATGTACTTTCGCGGACCGCTGACCAACTCTAGCCACTCATTCAAACCTCGTGGAGGAAGCTTCGGGTGCTTTCAGCCATAGATAGGTTGTGCTTTCTCCTGCCTGTTCACTATGCTAGTACAGCCGCTGCTCTACTGGTTAGCTCTACTGATTAGCTCTACATGTGGTGTAGCTAGCAAGCAAGGGTAACTAGTAGAGGTCCAGAATCACTCATCACATGCCTGTGCTGGCATGATGAGCCGCGGACTCTAGTCGGAAAGGCGTCCGGGTCCCTGCATACGGTAAAACCCCGCCGCTTGTGAGACCCTGGGCCAAGGGGGCCTTGCTAAGCACACACCAACCAACGTCATCCTGCATTTCACACAAGCGACAGCTAGAGGGTTTCCTCATAAAAGACAGCTTCCCTAAACAACTTCTTCTCTTGACCTTGAATAGCTTCTCTCTGCACCATACAACCCTCTCCCAAAGACCCGTCTCCAGCCCAACTCTCAAAAGTACACACCACCGTCCCATATCACAACCCGAAGCCAGGAAACACAGAAAACATAATGGCATCTCCCTCCCCCCAAGACCACTACGCCTACACCCCCGCTGCCACCCTCTCGACCCGCGCCCTCCTCACGAACCCCCCGCCCGGCCCAACCCGCACCGAATCCTCCATCAGCAGCGTCTCCGCCGCGCTGACCCCCAACACCCGCACAGAAGCCGAAGCAGCACTCACCTACAACAGCGCCCAGCAGACCGACTCCGCGGCGCCGACCTCTAGCTCTACGTTCCCGACCTCGGGCGCGGGGGACGACATGGTAGACGGTGTTTCAGAGTCGCCGCGGCCGGGGCTGCCGCTAAGGACGAGCAGTCATCATTATGCTGATGCGGTTGGGGCGGCTGCGCCGACTGAAGAGGATGCGGACGTGGGGGCTGGATACGCGGCTGAGGGTACGGAGAAGTACGTGAGCGGGCGGAGTGGCGTGGGGAGTCAAAGTTGGAGGCCGAGTGGGGTGAGGCAGCAGAGTTATAGCAAGGAAGATATGCGGCGGTTGATGCAGGAGAGGCTTATGAAGGAGCACCCCACGGACCCGGGGTATCAGAGTGGGAATGAGAAGCCGTAAGGAGGTGTGTCCTGTTGGGATGAGCATGCTAGCTGTGACTGAAGATGAAAACCTGGGGCTGTGGATGTATGACAGATGGAGATCTCGAGGGAATATGGAAGCTTGTCGAGACTGGAGAAGATGTCAAGTCGACTGAGGGTGGCTCTTGACCGTTCACTAGGTCAAGAAGTGACTGCGCCGCTGGCGAAAAAAGAGTACCATAGTACTATCGAAGTTCTTCCCATTGGCCGAAGCATCTGCCTCGTGAGTGAGGGGGACTATACTTGACAGCGAAGGTTCATGGCGCTATTGGGACATCGAACAAGTTGAGTCTTCTTAAAACAAGACTCTTCTCAATCAGCTTGCACGTCGCCTTCGTCTGGGGGTCCGCAGCTAGATTATTTGGCAGGAGCTGAGTTCCTCGCCCAGAAATCTCATTGGACCGAAGCACTACTTAGCTCGACTAAAGATTCTTCGCGCTGCCGTCTCGAGCAACAGGATTTAACAACTTGAAAAGGCGTTGCGCCCAACAATATGTAGGCCTTTCTCTTGTCCAGTTCGATGTGACGCTCCGTCTGTCAGGCAGCACTCCATACGCTGTACAGACTGAGCTTGTAGGACTGTACTCTGAGCAATAGCAAAGAATGACAGGTGCAGTCAGCCATGCCCGTGCCACTGCGTTAGCCAGTCTCGTGCCGTGACTTGCGGTGCATTCTAATAAGCGTCTACAGTACGCATCTATCGCAGGGGAGTTGCCACGCCGAAAGTACCGATGCAGGTAACCATGTCTGTTGAAGCGACGCGTCATCACAAGAGAGCCGCGAGACCTTGACCCGAGCAGGAACACTTATCAGGACCTTGCCTGCGGAGGTGAACAAGTCACCTCCTCTCTAAGTCTCGCGAAATTGATGTTCTGCGGACCGGAGCCTCTGTCCGGCTTGATTGCACCTCTCGGCGCACGGTTGCGCTGCGCATTGGGAGATTCCGCTGCTTCTTCCATGCAGGCTTTCCTATCAACAGGGTCGCTTGACCGTCCTCAAGATCCGGAGGAGGACATTTCTCGTGATTGGGGTAGATCGGCTCTTCTTTCGACTGTGAAAAGGACTACCTCATCGGACGTGACCACAACCGCGTCTTCAATGATATGATTGCTTGTGCTGACTTGGTGCCCCATTCTTGTCTCCCATTCTTGCACGTCCCATTCGAGGCCAGAGGTGGTGATCACGGCGGGTCCGTTAATGGGTATGATGCCAACGTTCTGGGTGAAGTAGCCCGCCGATAAAGGCACGTGGATAGTGCTCCGACCCGGCCGGAGGAGAAAGGAGATGTTGGACTCTGACACCAGCCATAACCGATAACCGCGGTGCTCATCTTGCTCGCGGATCATCTCATGAAGCAGTCCCAATCCTTGGTCAACGCGGCCAGCCAGAGTGCCCAAAACGATGATATCCTGAGGTGAGGTTGACGAGTCCTGTTCCAGTACTTTATGCATGGCCTTTCCGAAATCCGTACTATACTGATCTGGGTCCTTGGAGATGGCTACTCCTTTCGCTCGGTAGTAGTCTTGTACATCCTGGCGTAGGGAGTCCAAATCGCCATGTACGATACTCGGAAGCTACGATCGAATTAGGCTGAGCAACAATGATTTCATCACGTAGTTCCTCACGTATCTGTCTCTCATAGTCTCTTTTGAACCAACGAATATATCATACAAGCGGTTCGCGCCGCCATCAGCGCAAAGCCGGTATCCCGCATGCTTCCACAGCCTCCTGAAGACTTCGAAATCCGCAATCGGTTGGTTCAGAATGATAAGACTGGGTCTAGCCTGCGCTGTCGATATCTCTTCGCACAGAAACTCTCCAGGACTGCACTCCATGATCTAGTATAGAGGATAATGCCGATGAAACTTCCCTGCTTTGACTCCCGCCTGCAACTGCCTCCGGCGTTGCCGTTAGAATAATGAGCCATGCGGAATCCGGAGTTTTCCCGCTTGCGACTCAAGGAAGTTGCCAGAGGTGATATCTCAGGCGCTATTATTTTAGAGGGAGTACCATCTGCCCCCGATTCTTGCTGATGCACACGGTGATGTCCATTGTAATTCACCAACCGTGACAATACATGCACAATAAGAGACCCTTATCGATGACGTTTACATTCATTACTAACATATTCACCACTACTACCATATAACACATAGATTGGATCATAAGTCAAACCTGCGACCAAATCGGGGCAACGCCACCTGATTTTGTATGACCAGATATAGATCCACCGGCAATACGCCATACTCCGAAGTACTACATACCACCGCGCCAGGAGCATTGAAAGTCTTGCCTCAGTAAGGCCTGTCCGTTGTGGCCGCCTTTTACTCGGAGCAGACTGCGAAACCCACCGAAACATAGCTCGGGTATCCAGTAAAGCCAGCTTGTGCATGCTCCTGTTCACCCAACACGCCTTGCTCCTCCCGACTAGAATCCTACTAACAGATCGCCAAGCTCAGCTACTTGATGACATGCTGGAGAAAGAAACACCTGACGGCAATGAATTCCTACGCACAATCGCCTCGCCCTCCCTCTCGAACTCAAGGAATCTTGAGCTCCACATGCCCTGCCGTACCAGCCACTAGATACACAGTCGTCGATGGCACTCAGCCAACCTCTGGGACACTGACCATCGTTGTGCGGTTAAAAGGCACCTATGGGTCCGAGATCCTGAGGTGCAGCTGTACATGGTACAGTCAACTCATGATGGAGGAATTAATAGTAATGGCAATCCATGAAGTGGAGACCTAAGCAATGACGCCGATGAGTTGTCGAAGCCTTGAAAACACTAGACGTGCTTCCCCTGATGAGAGGCCGCCTCAGTGGAATCAATGTTTGTCATTGATGTTGGCTTGATCCGCGGATTAGAGGGGAATCTACCGATCCGTCCGAGAGGCCGCTTTCTGCCGGGGTTGGCTAATGGAGAGCTACTTTTTTGGGCAGATTCTGAGACAGGTTCGTGTGCTGTATCGTGTAGGTTATCAGCCAGTAATTCTGCGCTCCCAGAAGGTAAACCGTACCTGATTTTAGATCCTCTTCGCTCAGTATACATGTCATTCCACGGCGCAAAACAGGATGCGCATCTGCAACGTGTTGTTCTGAAATTACTGCGCCCTTCGCATTTACCACATGGCCTGAGCCGAGAACAACTTCCCTATCACCGCTCTCGACCTTTCCAGGCTCTTTTGGTGAAGGCGGGACATTTTCTTTCTCATCATCCGCGAGCACGATAGTCATACCGCGCCGGAGAGTGACAATCTTGCTGCCATCACTGCTGCTGGACAGCTTGCCACGTGCCTTGCGGCGGCTGATTGGAGGCGGAGAAATGGGCTTCTTCAGGGTAAAAGGTAAACGACGATTCGCGCTTGAGGATGAGTCTTGAAGTGGACGCCTCTGCTTAGCCATGGCTAAGTACGGCTTCTGTAGGCCATGGGATGATTATGGTTCTATGTTGTCGCCACATGGATGGAGTTGGCCCCTGAGGCTGATGGGACGGGATACGAGGTGGTGACGTCATAGCATGCATCATGAGTAGCATACCTGGGCAATTTTAAGAAGTGTCGCGACCATCGTATCAATTCTCATCTGAATAGCTTGTAAACCGCATTGAAGGCCTGCTTTTCTCACAATAGTGATCTACTCGTAGTTGCAAGGTGAACGGGTGTTACTAGAGACCGACAAGCCGAGGTGTCTACCGAAGGACACCCCTGTTGAGTGGCATTACGAATAACTAAACCCATAGAATGTGGTATTTGTAGGCTAGTCTCTTGTTTTTCTAGTAAACAAATAGTATGGTAATCTACACAGCGCTTCCCTGCGCTATAATGCAGACCTGTTCTCCAGATAAGTGGGCGGGCACGGCTGGTTCGAGGGACATGCATCCTCGAAATATAATTCCACAAGAGCATGAGGCGACACACTCGCCATAGGACAGGAGGGGATGCGAGAATGGCCCGCGTATACAAGTGGCTTGCATCGCCTAGGACCATCGTCGATCTATGTCTCTGTTCCTACAACAGCAATTGCAACTCAAAATAGATCCTTGCAAACACCAAGCCGAATGTCCTCCAACCTCTGAACCAGCTCCTTCCAGAAGCTCTCCTCCAACACCTTTCCCTCATCACTCTCCACATTCGGTCCGCTCGGGTACACTTTACAATCCATCAAAAACTTCCCGTGCGTTTCCACGCCAACGACAGGACTCGCAGCATGCACTAGGGTACGGCTTCCAGCTTCAGTTGTGCGCGCGACAATCTTCATTGCAATGCCCATGAGAATCTTTTGAGACCAACCGGGTTCGTCTCGGAAGATGTCGGACGTGCATGCGCCGGGCGTCAGGCAGTTGATGATAACAGGTGAGTCTAGCGTCACGGGCGAAAGCCGAGCTATGCTGCGGACAGCATAGAGAAGAAGGAGCTTGGAGACGTTGTACCTAAATCTTGGTCAGCTATGGGCCTGGGTGTAACTAGTGCAGCAGAAACGCTCACCGATCACCCATGTCCGTCTTGTCCTTGTCGTTTAGTGCTTCGAGTAACGACCCGTCCGTGCATTTTTCCTGAAATTTGGCAAGATATTGCAGGTCGCTCCCTACAAACGACAGGTGGCCGACCTTGTCGTAGGCTTTGCCGCTCTCCCTAAGCTTCGGCAGCAGCAGCAGTCCCAACAGGATCGGACTGATCACATTGACAGTGATGTGGCTCTCCATGCCCTCCTCCACTTTCCAATGCTGAGTCAGTATACCCGCATTTTGAACCATAGCATCTAGCCTGTCCAGACCCTGTGCCCGCTGAGCAAACGCCTTGATCGAGTCATAGCTAGATAGGTCCAGTGGCCAGACTTCTAGGCGGGACGGATCTGCCTGCGTGGTTCGTACAATCTCTACAACAGCGGCTTCGCCTTTGGAAACTGTGCGGACGGCTACGATGACTTTGGTAGCGTTGAGACGTATGAAGTGGCGTGCGGCTTCGAGGCCTAGGCCGGTGTTTGCTCCTGTTACGATGATTGTCTGGCCGGTGAAGTCTGAAGTCGGATAGGGGAGCTTGACTAAGAATTGGGAATATGCGAACATCTTGGCGTAGGTGATTGTATCCATCATTGCTTAAGACAGGGAGTTCTGAACGAAAAAGCAGGTAAGGACGAGAAGGAGGAAGTAGCAAGATAGACAGTTGACTGATTTTTGGTTGTGGGTTGATTGAGCTACTGTGAACGAACTGGAAGATATATACAGAAGCTACACTTTTAGCTACTGGGCTACGGAGACAGTGCGGTGTTCAAGATAGCAACAACTGAAAGCTCCGTCGGACCAATATTTCCTCCGCTTGAATTACAAACGAGCTCTTATGTTCTTATCGGTCTAAAGTGCTGGTGGAGCGGGCAAGGCGGAGTGTAACCGTACCGCAGCATCTGTGCCGATTGCCAGCTGCTTCAAGCAAGGAGAAAGGCGTTGCATGTTGCGTTGAGTGCTTGATAATCCGGATCTGATCTACCCGTGGATGTCGATCCGTGCCTGCAGCTTCCCATCTCTGCAAATCCGCTTATTGTACCTAGTTAAGTTCATGAGCATCCTTCTGCGCTTTGTTGAACAGCCTCACGGAGGTTTCAATAAAAGCAACCTCATGTACCCGGAACTGCGCAGACGAGAATCCGCAACGCATGATGCCTTCCTCCCCATAGATTAACTCAGGTCACGAAGAATGCTCCAAGTCACAGGCTATCCGCATGCCAGCGGCTATCCCTCTCCCAGAAGGGTTGATTGGCTGCCGAATCTGTTGCAGGATAGAAAAGTCTTCTGGATAGCTAGGTCTAAAGGATGCTGTTGTCGAATATGATGGCTTCGCGTCCGGATCAGGGAAACATGCGCATTACTCTGCGCAACCGGTGCTGGAAAGTTGCATTAAGATTCTCGATGATACAGACTTGTGATCAGGTCATCGTGACCGCGATTTGTTCTTCCAAATATATGGATTTGAAAGGTTGCTCGTGTAGTGTTTTGTGTCCGCACAAGCCAACTCGCGTTTCGATTGATATGATGTATACGGAGACCACCTGAACCTTTATCACATACTCGTGATACTGCTACAGCTCCATAACTCTCCTGGGTAGCTGTCAATACTCACCTGATGTACCTTAGGCACCGTAGAGCCCGTCGGCATCCCATAGTCACGAGTTTGGACTTTTGACGTTTACATGATGTCGGCGGGAGAGGAGCACAGACCACGTCAGTTCAGGTACGGGAGGTTTTGTAAGCAACACCTTACGAATTTCGAGTCGCAATCGGCTGTCATTCTTTGCATCTTCTCAAGCGCTCTGTTGTCGTCTCCTTCCTGTACAATATGTTCCGATCAGCTTCACGGACATATCTCTCGTCGTCACTGCCGCGCTACACGCCCAGAGCGGCCGCCGCTCGAAGGTTTCTCAGTACTGCACCTCCACATCAGAAGTCCCGGAGTTGGAAGAGCTCAGCTGTGAGATGGGGTCTCGCGATTGGAGCAGTGTACTACTATAACACCAGCAATGTGTTCGCCGAGGAGCCAGCATGTAAGCACCCTGCGCGAACCTCGTCGGCGCATCAGCGATGAATCTAACAGTGATTGCACAGATGCCGCGCCTTTACCAACAACAGAGCATGAGACGGAGGAGCTACCCACCGTCGACTCCCTCTCAGCCCGACGACGCCAACGGTCATCATCTCTGAAGCCTTCAGATGCTCCGAACATATCAATAGCGTCGCCCCCAGCGGCGGCTGGAGCTCTTGGGGAAGCTGGCGCAGCAGTAGGGTCGCCCGGAGAGCTTGAGGAGGAAGCGGATCAACAAGGCGCGTTCAATCCAGAGACGGGAGAGATCAACTGGGATTGCCCGTGCTTGGGTGGTATGGCTCATGGCCCCTGTGGCGAGGAGTTCAAGGCGGCCTTTAGCTGTTTCGTCTACTCCAAGGAAGAGCCAAAGGGCATGGATTGCATTGACAGGTTCAAGTGGGTCGGATTGGGCTCATTCTGATGTTGCAGAAGGCTAACTAGAGATGACAGGGGCATGCAAGACTGCTTCCGACAGCACCCAGATATCTACGGATCTGAACTCGATGACGACGACGACGACGAAGAAGCAAACGAAGCGAGCGCACCGCACGGAGAGGGCGTTGCTGCTCCCTCCTCCAATGCAGAACGCTCATCCCCACCAAACCCTCCTCCACAGCACGAGCGCGCCGAGAAGGTAGCGGATGTCAAGCCGCACCACCAACCTGAGCCACAGCATGAACAGCAGCAAAACCAGGAACGGGCGAAGGGCGCGGCACAGCAGGTGTCGCAGGACCACGCGCCACAGAGCGAGAGTAATGATCTCGTGCCGAAGTCGGCGCATGACGCCAAGTCAAGCAACGAGAGCGAGTAGAGTCGATGGTACTATAGACGGGCAACCACGATGTAAATCATGTATTTTACAGCATAGCATAGGATTCTGGGGTTTGTATAGTAGAGCATTATTGCGGCAATGAAGCCCCGCTCTATCCTTGACTGCTCGTGGGCCGGTGATAGTCTTTCGCGTATCTACAGCCGCAAGCCATCTCGTGACGAGCTTAGGACGCGTTTCCAAATACAACGCCTTGTAATAAATCTCCTCACGACTCAACTAATTGCTTCTTTGGCGCGACTGGCTCGACGCATCGCTGGACCAGGGTGACGTAGCGAGGTGTTGCAGGAGAAAGCTTGGAAACATGTGACGCGCGAAGCTCTGACCTGCTCCCTCGGACATCTCAAGCGAGCAGAGAGAAGGCGGGCACGAGAGCTGCTGTTTCTCATCCATCAATCATCTGCTACTGCCTGTCCAACGCCGCAGTCGTTCTTCAGGGATCCATCTCGCTCTCCTCCCGTGTCGCGTCCCTCCTGTGCATCCATCTTCGACAACAGCTGCTCGAGAAGCTCCAAGCTCCAAGCTCCAAGCTGCAAGCTCCAATCTCCACCTAAACCACCATGTCGTACGCAGCGGTTGCCGCGAGCGGCCCCAAGCAGTCGGACGAAGAGGTAAGCTATAGCAGTCCGCTTCCAATAACAATAGTTCATGGGCTGACTCCGACTTAGAAGTAAGTCAGATTTTCTACTCCAGGTCGTGTCCTTGCATACACCGGCCAAGCGCGCAGGACATCAGTGGTGGATACATTTCGAGAGTACACATCCTCGCAGAGATGCTGGCCTGCGCGCAAAGCCTTCGAGCTTCAAACTACGAAGCAAACGGCCAAGCCGAGGAACAGGCTTGCGACAATCCAGCGTGATCACCATTTCTTGGAAGTCACACTCCGTCATAGGCAGCGGCTGCTCCCGCGCCTGCCCTCCACCTGCATCTCACGACCACCTCCTGTCTCTCTATCCTTGCCACACCCCAAACAATGTCCGCGCCAATGACATATAATGTCCATCTATGTCTCGCAGTCGCACGGCGCGATTCCCATCCCCACACCACCCATCACCCCGTCATGCAGCGACACCGAGAACCCGCTCACTGAAGAAATCCTCTCGTCTCTGCTCAAAGTACAAGCTGCTCACCTTCACCGTCATCGCAGGCGCGCACCGCCGATGCCGGAAGTCGAGCGTACCGACGACTCGGTCCACAGCCTCGTCGACGTCGACAGCCCCCACATCTCCTCCGTTCCCTCCGACTACGAGTCGCAGTCCATCAAGACGGACACCCAGGCCGAGCGCATGGAGCACGAGGAGGAGGATCGCGAGCTCCAGGAGCTCCAGCAGAAGGAGGAGGAGGCCAAGGAGAAGGCGAAGGAGGCGAAAGACAAGGCTAAGGCCAAGGCGAAGAAGGCTGGCAATGTCATGAAGGAGAACTCGGATAACCCGGTTGTCATTGGCAATGCCGTGACTGTTGGCATTCTCGGCGCGGTGTTGGGTTATGGCGCGTACAGGAAATACTCGGCCGGCGAGCTTACCTGGAAGGTCGTGGGTGCTTGGGTGGGTATCGTTGGGCTGTTTGCAGCGGGTGATTACTATGTCAGCCAGTAAGTGTTGATTTTTCAGGTTGTAGGTCCTTCGAGGAGGAGGTGGCGAAGTTACAAGGGCCGGCGTATCAGACTCGTCGCACGTCTACTGGGCTGCCGTTGCTAGATTAAGGCCACAAGCACAAAGCTGACTTCTTTACAGACGCCTGTTCAAGAAGTACCCGCCAAAGAAATAGGCTGGGCACTCGGTTCTCCGTGGGTGAAACGGTTCCTGACGGTTCATATGGTGGTTCTTGTCCTCTTGTTTCCAGGCTCAGCGCATTGCCCTTGGCTTTCCGGTTTATTGTAGTTACATGTACTTCTTGAAACATCCACAACGCTCTTCTCTTCATAAAGATAATTAGGCGTTTCTCCACGACCAGCTCGACGTCACGAGGCTTTGGTTATCCATAGCTACCGTCTGACGGGAGACGATTTGAGCTCACAACGTCCTGCTTGATTGATCCACATGTAGCACCGCAGCTCTCTTTACCAAGTTCTGCCCTATCTTTGCTTAGACTGCTTAGTAATCTCTATATTGCCATAAAACACTGCGGCACTCAAACCTCCGATGAAGACTAATACTAAATCTTCGGAACACCTATAGCTTGAGCCAATCACACCCAGGATGGAACGAAGCATGCCACATAGGACAATGTTTTTCTGTTCGGCGCTGAAGGGAATTGCTCTTGCCTTTCTAGAAATCATCAGTGGTTATAAACGTCCAGCGCGATGCTGCATCGTTTACGATAGTACTTAGTTTCCCCCCTTCGGAGCGTTTTATGACTCGAACAACATGCTGAGATTAGTCAGATGTCTCCTCCACCTCAGCAACCTCCCGTCCCTAGCTAAGCCTTACTCTATCTTAGTAGCTTACCAGTAAACACCACTACCATCAACCAGTCCCGTGGGCTCTCGTGTCAGCGTCGTACCGCGATTCCTCGTCAAGCTACGCATCCGGTAATGGTGACAGCAAAGTAGAACACCACGTTTCCGATCGCCTTTGGGAATCTTGGGAAGCTAGTGTCAAGCTTGTCCGCTCTCCGGAGGGGGTTACCAGTAAGAAGTGGTACGAAGCGGAAACGGGATTCTACCTCCGTCGCCGATGTCCTACGATACCTCGACAAGCACCGAATCTAGCAGTGATGGCTAGCAGAGTAGAACACCGCATTTCCGATCGCCTTTGAGGATCTTGGAGCGCTACCATCTAGCTCACTCCACGGAAAGATGGACCAGCGGAACCACTACCCATTGGAACAGATCCCCTTCCTCAGCAACGTCTTGCGATACGTCGCCAAGCTCTTAATCTGGTAATACGGATCAGCAGAGTAGAACACCGCAACAAAACTCCCATTCTCAAGCTTGGGACTCCTGGCATCAACCATGGATCGTTCGCTCCTCGGCAGAATGAGCTCCACACTACAATGTCAGCAAGAGGGAAGCTCACGTGGAAGACGTAAGCGGTTTCCTTACACTGCGTGCTCGTTATCCGTTTCCGAGAAATGCGTGGAACGGCGTACGTGTGGAGGGACAGGGTCGTACCGTGGTGGAGGTATGTACTAGCAGGGGGCTGGGAGTTGGAGGGATACTCACGCACGTGGAATCTGGGGCAATGCTTTACGATAGTTAAAGGCTTGGAGGCTGTTTCGGGGGGGTAGGGGTGGGATTTCGGGGCGCTGTGACGGCTTGGAGGAGCGTGCTTTGGTTTGATGGAGTGGGGCTAACTAGATGGCGGAGGGGCGATGAGCACGCTGCCGGGTTCAGAAGTTTTTTGCATCTGTCTTGATGTTGATACAGGAGCGTCTCTCGAAGTTGCGTCATTCTTGGTATATGATGAAAGCCTGGCGCCAGCGGTGCGGATATACGGATTTGACGGAATCTCTGTATGGATAGGATGTGTACCGGAATGCAGGATGAGCTGTAGGAAATGAACAACATACATATATTCTCTGAATCGGTATGCCCAACGAATGTAGAGTTGAAGTGTACAGGCTCCCACAGCTCAAGTCTGCATGGCAAGGACCACAGTCAAAGCACGGAATGATTACAGACAATCGACTCTAACGGCACGTTAGGGTTCCAAGGGCCGTGTAAAAGGTAGAAATGTAGGGCAAGGGTGTGGTGTGAAGCAGGGTGTCAGATCTGTAAGATTTCCGAGTGGAGCTACATCTCATGTATGGGAGTGCACAGCGTTTCATATCTGAAGGTAGTCTCTCTCTAATAGAAGGGTAGATTTATCGCCGATGGCTACAACGAAGACGCCTTCGGCCCTTCGGCACATGTTACAGAAACGCTGACGGAGTTTTAGAAAGCACAGAAAAGCAAACAAGACGCAGCGATCTTAGCCGCCCAAAACAGCAACAAAGTTTCCTAGCAGTGAGTTTGACAAAACACATAGCGAGAGATGAGCTTGTCACATGGCACAACTCAAGCTTCCTCAGGTGCTACCACCTCGGCCTTCGTCTACCGAACAGATCTCTTGCCCGGAAACCGGCGCGACCAAACCCAACTCTCCTATCCTCATAATCGTCATAGTCGTCATCATCGTAATCCGACTCGCTGGAATAACCGTCGCCAAAGTCGTCGTCCATGGCATATTCCCTCCCGCCGTAGTAACCGAATCCCCCGCGAGGCACCTGCGCAATAGGCAACCTTGCCGACCTCCCAAATCCCGCCCATCCACCGCCAAAGAACCCCCCGCCGTGCCTACGCGGTCGTACGAACCCCCCGAAGCCGTGCCGTCGGGGAGCTGGGGGACCGAAGCCGCCGTAGCCTCTCCTTCCTCCACCGCCGTAGCCGCCGCCATAACCGCCTAAGTCTAGACCCTCAAACACGTCGCCCAGCCCGTCGTAGTCAAGCTCGTACCCGTAATTCCGTGCTTCTTGCTGGGCGCGGAAGCGCGCCCTGTTGGCCCGCTGGTTGTCGTGGCCGCCGCGGTGGTCGTAGCCGCCGAGGTAGGGTGGGCCGCCGCCGCCAAAGCCACGGAACATGTTGTGGAATGGGTTGTGGAATGGGATGTGGACCTGTTGGTGGAATTGTTGGCGGTTGTTGCCGGGGCCGCGGTCAAGGTCGTTGCCGATGTCGATGCCGCGGTGGGGGGGACGGCGATGGCCTACCATGTGGGGATAGGGCGGGAGGGCGCCTGGGAGAGGCTGCTGGGGGCTTTTGGGTGATGTTCCGGCCGAGAGACTTTCCCGGGAAGTTTTTGAGTCCCTGAGGTGTTTTGCTAGCCGAACAAGTTTTGAGCGGTCGACGGTAGGCGCTCAGGTAGTTTCTGCTATGAAGATAATGATAACGGACTCGAACCAGGTCGAGGTAGCAGAGATGATGCTGGAGCGTATGAGATGTGACGAAAGCAGGGAGAAGGTGAGGAGAGGCCCCCGTTAGATGTTTGTCTAAATATTTTGCTTTGTATTACAACGGCGCAGCAGCAAACGACATTCGCTTGGCGCAGGATAGTAGGTTGAGGCACTGCGGCACCGGTACCCCATCTCAACAGGGCGCAAAGCCTACTTATATGAGCAGTGGCAAAAGCAGATTGTCAATGGGCCCCATATGTTAGCGTCGTGCGAGATGGGTGAAAGAAAGTAACTTGTAGAAGTCGCCGGACCGGACCCTGAATCGTCTTTGAGTGTTTCTATCCACCAAGGTGTGTCTGGATTGACGGCGAAGTGACGAGGCTACGACGAATAAGACAAGGTTGCAGCGGAGATGACGATGCTATAGCGGAAATGGCGGTAGAGGGAAAGGAATCGAGAGTTTCTCTGAGAAACAATTGGAAAGGCGTGAGGCTGCGCCAGGACTGGTGGCCTGCGGTACGCCGAGCAAACTGCAGAAGCAAACATTTACTGAATAGCCGGCCAATTGGTGGCAGATGGTGTACAATCTCGACAAACATGGAAAGAGGGGCCCGTAGGGCATGCCCATCCTAGCCTACCTACCTTCTACCTAGGTATCCATACCTACCCTCCTTGAAGAGAGGCTACCCGAGTATACCTAGGAGTTCGCGCGAGGCTGCGGGTCCTGCGTTTCGGGGACGCTTCTCGAATGCCTTAGGAGATGACTAGCAAGTAACAATGACAAGCACCAAGTTGAAGATGTACACCTGAACAGCCCAGAGTACTGCGAGGCTTACGTAATGACGCGAGCTCAATTTTGCCCAGCCTCAGTGAGCGCTGCAAGCATTTCCCACACCGCGAACAACCGCGCCCTGAGACACGACCACTCGACCTTCGACCAGTACACCTGCATCAAGCTTCTCAGTCGCCCACAGGTGTGTCCACGCGTGTTGAGAGTTCAATCAGCGACTGCGCAAAGGAATCTCTACTAATTCGGCAACAGCCCGTTCCACCACTACAGCTTTCGAACTCCTACATACGCCACATCCACACATCCAGCCCGCCGTGTTGCATCGCGACTATTGTCTCCACACACCTTCGAAATGGCACCTTCTACGTTCGCTTCAGCTGCAGCGGGAAACAATGCAAACTCCACTCGCGCCGATGGTGGCGGAGATTGGTCAGTCCCTTTTGTTTTCTCGCAGCGCCCTTCGCGGCGCAGTCGTATAACCAGTACCGCTTGGTGGTGTTCTGCTGTTGCATTTCGCGTCTTCCTCGCCACCACGCGACTCCCACTAGGGGTGTTTGCAGTCCAATACCAGCCCACCTCACCAACTTGTTCGCTAACTTGGTCAAACGTAGGCCTCGCCGCACAAACGGTGCAACGCAGACCTTTCGCAGGCCCTCTCACGCTACCACCCTGTCAGCTTCCTCCCAGTCGCGCGACACTCCTTCCGGCGCTGCGGGAGTATATATACCTCCTCATCGCAGCGGACCCGCGCCCGAAAGCAGGTACAGCAGAGACCAGCTCCTTCAGTTGTTCAAGGCTCAGAAGGAAGCTGAAGGGTTTGGCGACGGACTCTCCGCTCTGTACGTTGGTGGATGGCAGCCTTACATTGCGAATGGTACCTCCAGCAACACATGGGGCAGGAGAGAGGACCATGGCAAGGAGAATCACAGCGCAGATGTCTGCTGGGATCGTGATGGTACCGTACAGCCACTGGGGCTGGCCGAGATGACGGAGGAGGAGAAAGAGCACTTTTCCACTTCGGTGAACTCACCGCTCAAGCCGCCAACCCAGAACAACAACAAGGAGGGCACTCCAAAGGATGGATTATCGTTACGGAAGACTTCAATCTCCCAAGCACAGAATAGTCCCAGCGCGTTTGGTCTCTCATCGCCTACCACGGCTCGTCCGGGGAACCGCCGGCGGGAGACTAGCGATGCGTACCCTTTCCCATCCCCGAATACATCTCGCTTCTCGCGCGAAGACTCCAGTGCTGCTACTCCGCCCCCCGCACTGCTCAGGAGGAGGACGGATCTGAGCAAGGAGTCGATCTCTGCGGCTGCGGCAGAGGATAAGGATAGGGAGAAGCCTCGAGAAGGCAACTCGGAGAACACCGAGCCTTATAGTAATCTCAAGCGGAGCACGACACAGCCTCTCAGCGCAGGACTCAATGGACCTTCCTCTCCTTGGAGCTCAACGCCCCAGAGCACCGGGTTTACTCCGATGGGCGCTTTCGGCAGTTTCGCGCTTGGACCCGCATCTGGCCAAGCATCAACGCCTACAGAGAAGAAACCCGGATTTGGGAGCGTCAGGGGCGCCAGCAGATTCAAGGATTTGATGACCAAGGAAAGCTCTGAAGATCTCGGGAAGGCCGTCAAAGAGAAACCGTCCTTGGGTAGCCTTGGGAAGGTTAATGAAGAGAATTCTGATCGACAGACATTGTCTTGGATGGAAGCTCGTTCCAATCGCCAAACAAGCAACGGCACAGATTCGTTCCCAGACGACGAAAATGTCCGATCAGGCAGCGCTGCGCTTGGAGGGGCGCAAGATAGCCCTCCCCGCCGCCAGCCTTTCCCAGGTCTGGGAACCCCAAGCCGACAGGAGTCCAAGGACGAGTCGGCATTCTCTGCGTTTGGGATGAGTTCTGACGTCGGGTTCCGAGATTTGCTCCACGGCCGTGATCCTTATCAACATCAGACACCGCAGCATCGTAACGTGACCGGCGCACCCGAACCAATGAGCCCTACTGATACAAATCCGTACCGAAGCCCGGAGCATGAGCGGGGAGGCGCTGAGGACGTCGATGCTGATGAGGCTGACGTCCAACACACTCACTTGCCCGGTCTTGGAGGGTTTACAACTGAAGCGGTACAGCCATCTGGTATGCTGCCGTTCAGCGGCCTTGCGGGTCTTGGTCGCGTGTCCGCGCCGTATGATGCGGCCGCTAGTGACAGGAGCCAAACGTCAAGCGTGGGACCATCCAGGGGCTTTCCGAACCTTGGTGGACTCGGTGGTTTGCCTGGACTCGGAGGAGCTGCTGCTTGGCCGCCCGCCCCCCAACAGTCTATTGGCACCCCGATTCGAGATAGGGCCGCGTTTGGTGGTCCCTTCGGAGAAGGTGCGTTCGGCTCTGTTGGCGAATTGCAGTCGCCAAGCCTTGCAGGACTCGGATCCAGCAGTATTTTCGGGCCCAACTCGAGTAGCGGCTTAGGTGGCACCGGCACAATCGGTCGGAGCAGTAAGATGGGATCGTTGTTTCCTGCAGCCATGCAGGAGCAGATGCGGGTTGGTGAGCAAGCTCGTCAGATGCACGAGGAAGGTTCGATCGATGATGATCGTCATCAACCTGCACTAGCGCCATTTGGGCGCAACGCATTTGGCAGTACTGCTCCAGGAAGCATCGGTCCTGTAAGAGAGACCGAAAGTCCTTTCCGAATGGGTGGTCGCGGCATTCTTGACGACCTTCTCGGCGGTACTCTACGAGGTGCTGAGAGTCATTACGCAGGCGAAGCGGTCGGGTCACCAATTGGCCAGCCGCCTAACGTGTTCCAGTCGGCAAACCTGGCGTCAGTCGGCCAAGGGCCCATCGGAACGCAGAGAAGTGTGCAACCACCCCAACCGCAGAGCGTGGGCAGCTCAGCCTCTTCTCAACCTCCTGCAGCTCAACAGAGAACCATGGTCATGCCTGACCGGATGCGGTGGATCTATCGTGATCCTCAGGGCAACACCCAGGGTCCTTGGTCGGGTCTTGAGATGCATGATTGGTACAAAGCAGGCTTCTTCTCTCCCGAGCTCCTTGTCAAGAAATACGAAGACCCCGACTACGAGCCGTTGGCGCAACTCATCCGCCGTATCGGCAACTCACGCGAGCCGTTCCTAGTGCCTCAGATCGGCATCCCTCACGGACCACCTACCACACAGGTCGGCAATGTTTGGGCTGGGCCAGGTCCGCTCCCTAGCGGTCCTACATCTTCCTCCGCAGCTCAGCCCCCGTTCGCGAGCAGCTTCCCAAGCTTTGGTACGACCTTGACCGCCGATCAACAAAACGCTCTGGAGCGGCGCAAACAGGAGGAGCAGTATTTGATGGCACGCCAGAAAGAACATCTTGCACAGCAGCAGGTGATGGCTAAGCAGATGCAGTTGCAAGGCCAGCATGGCATGGTACCGCAGCAGCTCCACCATCATTCCAGTGCCCATAGTCTGCATAGTCAGCCAAGCTTTGGCAGCATTACATCCCCTGGCGGATATCAGCCTTCGCCTACCCAAGGCCCTCTCCCGGGCTCACAAGGGGTACCGGGGTTCTTCGACAATTCCTTTAGAGCACCACCAGTACCTGGGGTCGGTCCAATCGGCAGTATTAGGGAAGAGGACGTGCCTTCACTCATGGAGCAGCTTAACCTTGGCGGCCGTGGCGGCCAAGCACGCGGTGGAGTTGGTCCGTTGCCTTTCGGTTTGCAACAGCAGCCAGAGCCTAACATGCACGCGCAACAGGTCGCAGCTATGCTCAACGATCGTTCGCGTCTCCAACGTGAGCAAGCCGAACAGGATTCGCGAATGGCCCAGAACGAGCAACAAGCTGCTCAGGGTTTCGCGGATCGCCTGCAGCAGTTCCAGGAGCTTAGAGGTGAAGAACAAAGGGCTCAAGATATCAGCGCATCCCAGCCACAGCAAGGCGTCATTGGCAAACAGCATGACGAGATTAAAGCCATTCAAGACCAGATGAACAGAACACGGCAAGAGGTCGGTCGGCAACAGCTTCAAGCTGAAGAGCTCAAGCAGCAAAAGATGCCCCAGGCCCAAACCCAGACTGGACCCACCGCCAGAGAAATCGTGTCTTCTTCCAGCATGGCTGAGGTGTTGTCTCTCACCGAGCAGGTGAAGGCTGCATCGGCGAAGCAGTCACCGGTTCCCCAGTCACCTTGGGCGAAGATTGACACTGCGCTGCCGCAGCCTTTCCCACCACCACAATCTAGTTCCCCCCTACCTGCCCCCGCAGCGCAGCGGAAGCAGAATCTGGCCGATGCTTTGAACGAAAGCTCACGCTCACGATCGGAGACCCCTTCGGTCGACACACCCAATGCCTCTATCGCGCCGTGGGCCAAGGAGCCCAGCGAAGCACCCAAAGGCCCATCGCTCAAGGAAATCCAAGAGGCCGAAGCCCGCAAGGCTGCACAGCAGGAGGAACTAGCAGCAGCAGTCCGCAAAGCTGCTCTCGAAAAGGAGATGTTCGCCCAAGCCACGCAGCAGGCGCCAGCCCCTGGTTTGCCGTCCAGCTCAACGTGGGCCAGTACCGCTTCGCCAGTCAACCCCACCGCCTTCGCTCCCTCGGCTTGGACTAAGCCTATTGCCAGCAAACCGGCTAGCACAGCGACACCTACCAAGAAGACGCTCCAGCAGATCCAGAAGGAGGAAGAGGCACGAAAGCAGCGTGCCGCCGCCGCCGCCGCCGCCGCTGCGTCCATTGCCTCCTCCGTCGCTATCCCTGCGCAAGCCTTAGCCACAGGCAAGCGCTATGCCGAGCTCGCGAAGCAAGCCGCGCCCTCACCCAGCAACGCTGGCGGCGTGTGGACGACAGTCGGCGCGAGTGGCAAGGTCAAGACGCCCGCTGCTCCTGTTCTGGCTGCGCCAGCTGCAGCCGTCAGAGCTCCTACCAGTGTTGCTACTCCGTCTGCGGCTGCGAAGCCGAAGCCGGCGCCGGTCAGGAGCGTGACAAGCGGGCAGGTCAATGCGCAGGAGGAGTTCAGGAAGTGGGCCGTTGCTGAGCTGAAGGGTGATATTAGCGCCGGTATTAATGGTACATAACCCCCTTGCTGCTTCTCCGCCTCCCCCCCACCCCCTTCCCCCTCCTAAACTTTGTTGGTATAGAGCAGAAACTGACCATGCTCACAGTCAACGACTTCATCACAACCCTCGTAACCCTCGGCTCCGCCGCCGACACCGACATCATAACCGAATCCGTGCACGCCATCTCCAAAACCATTGACTCGCGGCATTTCGCAGAGGAGTTTGTAAGGCGGCGCAAGCTGGCTGATAAGGGGATTGTTGAGGCCAGCGGCACGGCTAGTCCCGCTACGGAGCCCAAGACAGGGGCGGGGGCGGGGTGGAGCGAGGTTGCGAAGAAGGGGCCGCTGGTGGGTAGGGAAAGGGAGGAGGTTGGGGGGAGTGGGTTTAAGGTTGTTCCGGCTAAGAAGAAGGGGGGAAAGAAGTAGGGTGTGGTTGGTGGGGAAGTGTGGGGAAGGGTGTATGATTAGAGAGTAAAACGCCGTCGCTTTTGATGCTTGGTCCATCGAGGTGGTTCCACCGTGGTCGCTGCGGACTATGTGGGGGCTGTGATGTGCGGCTAGAATGCGCTCCAGAAGCCCTCGCAGTGACACCAAAGACGATGCCATTCCTTAGCTAAATCGATACAATGTGCTCAGAAGTTTTTTGAGCATCTGTTTGGTCAATGTTTCCAAGTGGCGAGAGAGAGCTTCAAGCACAGCAATAGTTGTTTGCTACAGAAATTGTCCTTACTTCAAAGGACGCATCATCTTTTTATGTTTACCGAGACGCCCCATTGCAGCTACATTCCGCACAGGAAAGACGGCCACAATGCCAGTGACTGTTGTGAAACCTAGCCCAGAAAGGCATACAAAGCCCGCCATTGCGGAAACCGTAATTCTTCGTCCGTGAACAGTTTGTGTGGAGCATCGAGAAGCCAGTCATGTTCGTAGTTGTCGTTTTTGCTGAGCCAAGCTACTGCGAAAAGGCCACCCGAACCAGCTCTAGCATCCGCTTTTCTTCATGCACACCCTAAAGGATACTGCAGGCAAGTTCCCATGCCATTGACCCAGCGACCAGAGGGACGCTTATCATGACGCGGCCGCACCGGTCGTAACGCCGTCCTGCACCGCAGCAGGCTTCTCTGCCGGCTTCGCGACCTCAGGCGGGACCTCAGCGCCCTTGGCGGGCTCAGCATTGTCCGACTTTGCGGCAGGTGCCGCCTCGTCCATTTTGGCCTTCTTCGTCTCAGAGTTGTCCTCCTTCTGCTCGCCCTTGTCCTCAGCATCGTCTCTGCGCCTCTTCCCCTGGCGGTCATCATCCCTGCGATCCCTTCTGTCGCGATTGTCACGACCTCTGCCGCCCCGCCCACCCCCTCGCCCCTTGAAATCCTTCGATTTCTGGAAGTCCTCCCTCCTGCCTCTCCAATCCTTATCATCGCGATCACCGCGTGGACTTCTGCTCCTGTCCCTCCTTTTGTCGTTTCGGTCGTTTCGATCACCCCGGCCACGTCCACCCCTCCCACGGCCCCTACCATTAAACTGCGGCCGCTCGCTCGCCTGGATTTTGCCGGCCCTAATATCCTCCGTCTTGCCCTCAACATACTCCCTCTTGCTCATGATCTTCAGCTCCCTGCCCTGAAACTTCGGCTTCGGGTCCAGCGCCAAAAACGCCTTCTGCGTGTCCTCGCTATCAAACTCGACGAACACCGACCCCTTGAACGTCTTATCCTGCCACGTGCGCCGCAGCCGAATCTGGTTCGTGGGCCCGTACGGCATGAAGAAGGCCTCGATGTCGAATTGCGTGGAGGGTCCTTCCTCGCCGAACCCTTTGGCGTAGATGCTGCGCGGCATGGCCTTGTCCTCGAAGATCTTGATCTTCTCGTCGTCGATGTCTTTGCCCACCTCTTCGGGCAGAGGCGTCTTTCGGCGGAGCTCGTCGTCGGCGGTTACGTCGAGGATGGAGGAATCGCGCAGGGCGGCGACGACGGCGGAGTAGGGCTGGAAGTGTCGCATCCGCTTGAAGGAGTGGATTACTTTGATCGGGACGGCGCGGTTTTCGTGCCCGCCTACGAGGTCGAGTAGGAATTTGTCTTGAATCAGGTTTGAGTCGGAGAAGTAGAATTCGACCTGGTGGGGATGTTAGCTTGAATATACTGACGATGTACGGTGGGGGCTGAGTGTGAGATGTCGTGCCTGCTTTCTGATCTCGTCGGGGTCGCTGCTCTCGGCTAGAGCAGAGAAGTCGGTCTTCACGTTGCGTTGGGGGCGCGAAAATGGTTTGCGCTCCCGATCGTCGCCATTTCGCCGTGTCCTCTCCTCTGGCTTTTCCGTCTTGGAGTCACCATTGGCGGTTGGCGCGTCGTCGGCCTTGGTCGGCTCGCCTCCTTTGGCTCCTCCAGTCTCTGGCATGACGGTTTCAACTGGCGCTGCGCCAGCGGCTTCAACGGTCTGTTGTCGCACTGTCAGTACTGCGCCAACTATACAAAGCGTTCCCGACGCGCTAACGGATTGCGCGCTTATTTGGGATGAGAAGCAGTGAAAGTAGCACGATGTTCCCCAAGAGTTTGCAAGCGCGCGAATTACTTACCTCCGCAGACTGGCCTTGTTCCTCCATATTCCCAGCTTGATTGGCGACGGTCTGGTCGTTCTCGAGGGAAGTGGCGGCAGGATCGGTGTCTGCGACCTCAGTCTCCATTGCTGCCATTGTTGCGTCCTGTGTGTTTCGAGTACTTGGTGCAAGGTGAGCAGTGAGCAGTGAGCAGTGAGCAGTCGGCGGAGTGTCGAAGTGAAAGACTCAGAAATTCTCGGTGCAGTGGTGGATGGAGCTTGGGCCACACCGAGACTTCGAACCAAAAGTCAATCGCTATGGGCATCGCCGCACCCTGAATTGCGCCAGAGGTACTCCGTATATACCCCCAACCATCACACTGCTAATCTCAAAATGAGGAGGAAGGTGCCCCACGGGCTCAAGAGGCCTGCAAGTCCACCACTCAACCCACACCCAGCGTGAACAGATCTAACAGCCCCTCGCCTCGCAGAAAGTCCGCCAGACATGGAACAAATACAACCTCTACAACATCTCCCGCATGCAAACCCCCACCGCCTACGACAAGACCTTCTTCCAGCAAAAATGGAAATCCAAGGCCCTGACCCGCGCCTACCACGGCGAGCAGATCAAAGAGAAGCACTGGGAGCGCATGTTCCGGCGGAGCATCCCCGCCGTCGTGCCCATGGACCACGAATACCTCGCGAAGCACGACGGCTCCGAGCTGGCGGCGGGGAGGGGCAGCGGGCTGGATGAGGCGGAGAAGGGGCGGAATCCGGCAAAGACGCCGTATATGCAGATGACGTTCCATCCGACGGAGAGGAGGCTCGATACTGCGATCTTCAGGGCGCTGTTTGCGAGTAGTGCGCGGCAGGCGCGGCAGTTTGTCACGCATGGGTTTGTTAAGGTCAATGGCAAGAGGGTAAGATCATGTGGCGGGGTGCGAGGGGAGAGAACGCGCTGACGGCTGCATAGATGATATATCCGGGCTACATGCTCAATCCGGGAGACATGTTCCAAGTCGATCCCGAGCGCGTCATGTGGGCCACCGGCGCACGCAAAGACCAGGACAAGTACGAGACGTCGGGCGAGTACATGACCACTCCCGAAGAAAACGAGCCGGTGGACGAAGTCGCCGAAGAGGACGAAGACGCAAGACCCGCAAGCGCCGAATCCCCCTCCACCGCCTCCGCAGCCGACGCGCCCGAAGCCACGGAACGCACGCCCGAAGAACTTCGCAAAGAACTCACAGCGCTAATGGACCAAGCTAAGATCCTCCTCAAAGACCCCAAAGATCTGAGCCCGAAGCAAAAAATCGAGTTGCGTTCATTCCGCACGAACCTAAAACGCGCCATCTCCCGCAACAAAGCCACAGAGTCCGAGGCCGAGGACTACGAGTCCCAACTCGCGGCCCTGACGGCTCGTCTCGCCGTCTCCCCCTCTTCCTCTAACTCCTCCACCTCCTCCGCCAACACCTCCGCCGTCCCCACGGAGGTTGAAGATCTGACCAAGGAGCAAGCAAAACTGCTCAAAGAAGCCCTCCAACGCGCCCACGAGAACCCCTACGACCCTTCCAAACCCTACCTAACACCCTGGGCGCCACGGCCCTATATGTCCGCCTTCGCGTTCATACCGCGCTACCTCGAGGTCAGCCATAGCATCTGCTCGGCTGTGTATCTGAGACATCCGGTGGCGCGCCCGGGGCTGGCGGAGGTGCCGACGCCATTTCATAAGGAGACCAATCAGCTGGCGCATGCGTGGTATTTGAGGAGACGGTAGTGTGGGGGCGTTGTGGGGGAGGGTGTGTTTGTAGGTTATGTATTGTGTATAGAGGGAGGGAGTGCATGGTAAATATGTTTGTGTATACTTGTACGGTTACTTCATGCAGCATAGTATCTGCTCGGTATAGAAGGTTGCCCTCAAATCGCCGGTAGATGAAAGACTCGATAACTATTTGTTCCAAAATGCCAAAAGGGGTTACAAAGGCCGGTCCTGCACCCAAAGCCGCTTCCCTTGCTCTGTTAGCATCCTAACTACTCACTCGGTCGATTCAAAGGCAAAAAGAAAAACATACAGCGGTAGGTATTCGCTAGTGGTCACCCACCTAACTACTAATCTACCGATTCAAAGCTTATGTAGTGGCAGAGCGGACGGGATACCCAGTACTCTTTGATCTATGGCCGTATGTGCTGGGTTGAAGCTGGAATTACGATATACAAGCCCACACAAAAGCCGTGTAGTCAAACGGCGATCAAACACCATCCTGCTTAACGGTATCCCAATCTCCGCCATGTGGAATACTCTCTTCGGCGTTCTCTTTATAGCGAGCAGCAATAAACCCGCTACCCAATTCCTCGCCAGCTTTATATGCGTTCAGCGTCGCTATGCTCTGTCACTAGAACGCCAGGAGCCTCCCAAAACAGTTCAAGCTCACAGCGCGCGATTCATGCGAACACGGTTGGAGATTCTAAAGTGATTTATAATGATTCAAAAATTCAGATTAGCGAGACAATTTTTTTCATTAAAGCAAGGCACCCATAATCTCTAAGCACTAGCAAAGATAGAAGGCCCGTTTCTCTGGTTTCTAAAGCGGCTTACAATATGAATTCTGTGATCGACCATTTGAACCTCATCCAACAACTTCAAATTCACACTCTCTTCAAACCTTGAAGTGTACACCACTATAGACGGAGCCAAAATCCTCCATCCGAGACTCGGTGCTGTGGGGCACTGGGGCTGCGCCCCTGGGAAAAGATATCCGTCGAAATTGGAGGAAAGTCGTTCCAGATAACCGGTACGCCTTGCCAGCACTTCCCCGGAGGAGAAGTCACGGGCTTCGTCCTAGAGACTCCTTCGTTTGGTACTGATCCTGCAGGCTTGCCGACTGCTATCTACTTCTCCGGAGACACGGTGTACATGGAAGAGCTCGCGGAGATCGGCTGGAAGTGGCACATCACCGCTGCTTTGCTTAATTTGGGAAATACGGTAATGCCGTTCCCTAATGCCCCACTGCAAATCACTTTAGATGGCAAACAAGCTGCAAGGCTTCTTCGCGAGATTGATGCCGACGTTATTCTCCCTTTGCACTTTGAGTCGTGGACTCATTTCACTGAGTACGAGGATGATCTTGCCAGAATCTTTAAGGAGGAGGGTATTGAAGACAAATTGTGCTGGCTTGTTCCAGGCATTGATAGAAAGGTACTTTGATTTGAGGTAGCTCCGTTTGGCTTATATTAGAGTATTGCAAGGGATAATCAAAATTCGGTATCTTAGAGATGGCCACCATGATTTCAGTTGCTTGAGCTGCGATACACGCCGAGAAACATCAATGACTGTAATACTATTACTGGAAACAAAGAAGAGATCGTGACATCGCGGCCGCGGGGCTGATAATCGTCGATGTCGTTACAGGGGCTCCACGGTTCAGCGCCCCCACCCTCGGTTCTTAAGCAGTTTTGTTAGCGAACCTCACCAAAAGTGACCTAGGCCGTGAGCGCATTAACCCATCAACCTCACTGTCGTTATAAAGCCTCAAACTCACTAGTATTATCTATCCAAACTCCTAAACTTAGTAGTAATAGCTCTATATATCTTAAACTACACTAGGAACCTTATTATCGACCTCCTTTTAGCTAAGTACTCATACCGCCGTATCGTAAGGGCTATTTAAGTAGATGCTTTAACTATATAGCTTATTAAGCGCAATCTACATATTACCGGTTAGGTATACCTTATTACTATATTAGGGCCTATAAGGCTTTTAAATTAAGAGGAGATAAAGGTACTTCTTTATTATTTAGTCAAAAAGCTAGAGCTCTATCTAGATAAGATATACTAGTTTATTTAGAATAAGTTTAGTAAGATTATATTACGGTAGGTATTATCTAAATATCTCTAAGAGGTAGGGTGGACTAGAAAGACTATAAGTTTTATATTCTATAGATAGAAGTTAGCTTCTAATATAGATAGGTTTAAAAGATTACTATAGTATGTAATATAAAGCTTTACGGGTACTATCTCTACTTTATATTATAGTTTCACTCCTCTTAGCTTATCTTTATAGATAAGTCTAGTACTAATAAACAAATTAGCTTTCAAAAGATAAGTTAGTTACTATAAGAGTAAATTCTAATATACTAAGAGTATCTAATATATAGTAAGCGGTTTTAGATCTTATCTATATATATAATAGATAGTATCCTCGACGCTATTATCTATAAGGGTATAACTAATACTACTAGATTTAACTAGTAGCTAGAATATTATATCTTACTCTTGTGTAGCTAGTATTTAGGTAAGAACTCTATAATTATTATAGATAACGCGTTCTTCTATTAGTTATAGTATATCTTAAAGCTATTTAAGCGGTATAGTATTAAGCTTATCTTCCTTCTACTATATTCGCTAGACTTAAATCTAATTAGGGAGTTTTTCTTAGAGCTTAAAGTATTTATTATAAAGAACTAATATCTTTAGGCTAAAATAATAGATAAAAGCAATAAAACGCTTAAGAGATTTCTATATTAGTATATAAAGGAGGTAGGATATAATTACTAGCATGCGCGCGCTTATTTTTAGCATTTAATAGTTAAATTTACTAGTAAGAATATTATTAAAGGGTGAAGTTTAAATTCTTATTATAGGTAGGGTTAAGATTAGGTTTTTAGAGTTTACTTTACATTCTCCGCTAATTAAGAGCATTTTAATAGTTTTTGTTATATATTTCTATAGAGCTGACGGAGAGCCTAAAGCTAATCTTTATATAATAGATCTAGTAGACCTTAACTCAGCCTTATCTAAAAAGATTCGTATTAAATATTAACCTAAACTCCCTTACCGCGCTTATTAATTATAACCTACTTAAGTTATATACTATTATTAGCTATAAAGTCCTTATAAGCTATATAAGTCTACTATATCTTTATATTACTAATTACTACTCTAGTAACTTTCTTTTTAATACTACGCCTTAAGCTATTTTAGTTACCCTATCTATCTTTTAAAGTAAAACTTATACTTAAACCTTTAGATTACTAGCATTTAGCTTTAGATACTAGCTACTAGTAGCAGAGTAGCACTATTTATTAATATTATTATAGCTTCTATAATTATACTAATACCTCCTTATTATATACTTATACTAGATTAGCTCGCTAGTAGTATCTTTAGCGTTTAGCTCTCTTTTAAGCTAGTTTATTATATTAGTAGCTCCGTCTAGATATTCTAGAGCTAGTAGCACTTATTTAATAAACTTCTAGGTGAGTTTAACCCGTAGCAGCATTATTAGATACTAAACACTATAAGATTTAAGCGCCTTATTAACGTGGTTCTAGCTTAGAAGGATAGTATCTATAGTAAGCGGCATGTTTTTAGCCTTTTAAAAATTACTATAAACTCTTATAGAGTAAGATACCTCTTAAATAATCTTATTTAGCGTCTTAGCGGCTAGCTATAAGGTTTTTTTATATTTTAGCTTATACTCCTAGTAGTAGGTAAGATCTATAGTAGCATCCTACTCTATATCTTTAATAATCTTATAGTTATTTAGCTTTAGCGTCCACGCAATATTATATTTAATAGTATTAGTAGTAGTAGTAGTTAAGACTAGTAAGAGCCTAGTTTATAAATAGTGTGTCTCTTTAGCTAGTAGCTAACTATTTATAAAGAACTCGTCGACTATCTCTTTAATCTTAATACTACTATCTATCTTATAAGCCCTCTTAAACCGGTTGTTAAACTCAGTAAATAGCTAATAATATTAGATAACCGCAGAGTGCTAAAGCGCTTAAGTTTAGCTAAACTTAAGTAGCTTTAGTAGTAGCTAGCTAATAAAAGGCGGCGGCGAGCTATCTAGTACTAGCAGTAGCTATAAGCTATTTTAAAGACTACTAGCAAGTCGAAAATCTTTATCGTACTACTAGATATGCGCTTAAATCTATATATTAGGTGTAGAAGCCGCTAGAGTAAGAGATTAGGTAGCACTAGCCGCTCTACTATCTTATTTAGGAGCGGTTTTAGCTAGTTAACACTTATTCTTACGCTTACCTATTTTAGAAAGTTTATATAGAGCTTTCTAGCTTCAAATAAGGCTTTAAATAAGGACGGTGAGGTTAGTGAGGTTGATAGGTTAATGCGCTCACGGTCTGGGTTACTTTTGGTGAGATTCGCTAACAAAACTGCTTAAGAACCGAGGGTGGGGGCGCTGAACCGTGGAGCCCCTATACGATGAGTCCTCGAATCTGTCCTCAATAAACCAAAAAGTACCATGCTACTCGGGAACGCTACCAGCGCGCACATGCAATCTTCTTTGTACGTTAAGCGTGAGATGAGTTTCGGGGGAGCTGGGTGAGTATGTGAGGCGGGTAAAAAGTGTCCCGGCGAAAATCTCGCTGCGAAACTTAAGATTTCTAACCACGCCTCGCTTTTCCCTTACCGCTGCTCCTACTAATAAGATAATAGATTACTTAAAACGGTGCGTAGAGCTAGAGAGTCGGATAGCATAATACTAGATAGATTTTTAGCACTATCTCAAGCCTCTAGAAAGTTATTATATAGGTGACAGTCGAGTTTTACGGGGACGCATTTTATCCGCCCGACGTGTGGTGAGCCGGGGTGATCCTACGAATCTACTCCGTACCGTGGCTTAGACGGGAGAGAAGGCGCAAAAAGGGGGACCAGGCAACGTTGCCAAAACCATGGAACACTTCTCCGGTCAGCCTTGCGCCAAGAGTGTCCCGCAACTTGTGCAATCATGCTCGGTAACGATCTCGAAGACACTGCAAGCTGCTCACGCCAGACTGGGTTCTCATTCATCCACTGCTCCTGCCGCCCAGCGTTGTCGCCGCATCTCACCGTACCATGGACTCGCTCAGCATTACGGCCAGCATTATTACTGTCCTGCAGCTCACGAGCAAAGTGATCGAGTATCTAAATAACGTTAAAGACGCACCAAAAGACCGCGCACGGTGCGCAATTAAGGCATCAAATATCTACAATCTCCTCACCACTCTAAGGTACCGACTCGAAGAAGGAAGCTCCAACGAGCCATAGTATACGGCGATCAAGGCACTCGGTGTACAGAATAGGCCCTTAGATCAGTACAGGCATGTGCTGGAGCAGCTGCTACCTAAGATAACAAATAGTAGTGGAATCAAGAAGATGGGCAATACTCTTATATAGAAGCTTAGCAAAGAGGAGATTGCAAATACGCTGTCGAGGATGGAGCGTTTGAACACGCTTGTGCAGATTGCTCTGGAGATGGACCACTTGTTAGTCTCTTATCAGACACTGCAAGGCGACATTGCTCACACGTTTAGCAAAATGTCTCAAGCGATCAAGAATGATACCGACCTTGTCAGGAAGTCGATACCCGCTCTGGAAATGGGGATCGACGCAGTTCAGCAAGAACAAAACCGTCAACAATGCCACAACCTTTCGGAATGGATTTCTTCGACCGATTTCCCCACTCAGCAATCCGATTTCATTGCCCGGAGACAAGAAGGAACTGGTCTGTGGTTCCTGGACTCTCCCAAGTTCGCCAAATAGATTCATGAATCGAAGCAGACTCTGTTCTCTCCAGGTATCCCCGGAGCTGGCAAGACAATAACGGCCGCAATCACGATTAATCACCTTCTAAGAACAGTGCAAAATAACACTACTAGGGTGGCCTATGTATACTGCAACTACAACGCGCAAGCAGACCAGACCACCACTAGTCTACTTTCCGCCATCCTGAAGCAACTGGCGCAGGCCCGCCCATCCATTCCGGAGCCCGTAGCACGTCTGTATGACTGCTATGCCAAACGAAAGACGAGGCCGTCGCTTGAAGAGATCATCAATGCTCTGCAATCTGTACTCAGCAACTACTCAAGCGCATACGTTGTCGTCGATGCTCTGGACGAATGTCCGGACAAACATGGTACTCGCAGCCAGCTTCTGGCGAAGCTCCGTGATCTGCAAAGTAAAACAGATCTACGCCTTATGGTTACTTCTCGCTTTATTCCGGACATTAAGAACACTTTTAAGTCAACGCCAAGGCTAGAGGTTCGAGCAAGCAATGCGGACGTGAAACGCTTCGTAGCGGGCCAGATGTACCGGCTTCCCAAATGCGTCCAACGTGACGACGAGCTGCAGGGCTTCGTGCAAGATAGAATTGCTGATGCAGTGGATGGCATGTTAGTATTTCGCATCGCTGTTTACTGCACTGCTAACTCACGACTCTGCCAGGTTTCTCCTTGCTCGTCTCTATGTAGACTCACTTCTTAATAAGAGAACCAAGACTAAAGTTCAGTCTACGCTGGCGATGCTTGATAAAAGCTCCAAAGCGCTCGACGAGGCGTATAACGAAGCGATCAAGCGAATTGATGGCCAACTACCTAACGACAGAGCGCTAGCAAAGAGCGTTCTTTCTTGGATTACATATACGCAGAGACCGCTTACTACGGGAGAGTTACACCATGCTTTAGCAGTGGAGGTAGGCGAAGAAGAACTTGACCCAGACAACATTCTTAATGTCGAAGACATTATCTCCGTCTGTGCTAGTCTTATCACGGTTGATAAGGAGAGCAATATCATCCGTCTCGTCCACTACACTACGCAAGAATACTTCGAGCGGATCCGAGAGGACTGAAACCCCACTGCTCAGCAGGAAATCGCGTCGACCTGTCTTACCTACCTCTCCTATAATACTTTCAAGAGCGGTAGCTGTCTAAGCGACAATGACTTCGAGAGCAGGATCGAGCAGAATGTGTTCTTAGAATATGCTGCTCAATACTGGGGACGGCATGTGCCAACAGTTCAGGAAGGTGTTTGTGAGCTAGCATTGTCCCTGCTTCAGGATAGCAACCTGGTGTCCTGTGCTGTTCAGACGATGATAATGGCAGAGGAGTCAGCTTACGGATTTCCGGGACTTGAGGAATCTAGTGAATATACTCAATCTTTCCCGACACAGTCGACTGGTCTGCATTTAACAGCGAGGTTTGGACTGCTATATCTATCAGAGAAGATTCTACAGGGTTTGGGCGGCGACACCATCCTTCGAGCCGACTCGAAGAATGAATACGGTCGTACGCCGCTCTCGTGGGCGGCAGAGCAAGGGCACGAGGCGGTAGTAAAGCTACTAGTCGAGCGGGACGACGTTAAAGCCAACTTAGAGGACAAAACCGGGTTTACGCCGCTCTTATAGGCGGTAATAGGAGGGCGCGAGGCAGTAGTAAAGCTACTAGTCGAGCGGGACGACGT